GCTACAGGACAGCCTACGCCCTGTAGGTGGGTGGCCTTGCACGAGCCGGAGCAGCTCATATGGCAGGAGCCATCTCCTGTTTCTGAAACGTGAGGCAGCGGCAGGAGATTATGTAGTACTACGTATTGTTATGTATATTATGTATATTATCTTATTATATTATGTATATTATGTATTGTATTTTTAAAAAATGTTTATCTGTTTTTTCTTTCATTTTTCTTTTCTTTTCTTTTTTCTTTTTAGTCATTTAGCAGACGTTCTTATCCAGAGCGACTTACAGTTAGTGAATGCATACATTTTCATATTTGATGTGTTCTGTTTCCTGTTTGGACCCCAGGAAGAGTAGCCTCGGCCTTGGCAGCGGCTAATTGGGGATCCCAATAAATACTACTACTACACTCTTAGAAAAAGGGTTCCACAAGGGTTCTTTGTAAGGCAAAGGGTTCTACCTAGAACCTTTAACATCCTAAGAACCATTTTTGGAAGAAAGGGTTCTTTGATGATTCTTTGGAAGCCAAGAAGGATTCTTTGTAAGGCAAGAAGGGTTATTTGGAAGGCAAGAAGTGTTCCACATAGAGCCATATATCACATTTCCCAGCATGCTCTATTGCGGGGGTGATTTTCAGAATTGTTTGTTTTAATATCTGTGTTTTTGCATGTATATTGATTGGTTGATTAATTTAATGCTACACAAAGATAAATAGCATACATTTTTCTAAACTAATCCAATCTGTTAGAAGTTGGACGGTTACTGGGATAGTTGAATGCAGGTTGCGGGTGATAATTTTTTTGGGACATCCTAACTTTGGCTGGATTCCAATAGGAATTACATATCACTTTGCAAGTCAGCATAATGTGACTTGCAGGCCTGATGTGGCCTATAAAACAGGAGTTTCCTAGCACCACTGTGTTAAAGTATAACTACGCCCTCAAATATAGGCCTTATGATATATGTAAATATTGTCCAGAAATAACCATTTTAAAGGCTAATAAGGCTGGTGGAACTGTTCAGAGACAGTTCTAGGAAGAACCTTCCAAAGACTATCTGTAAGTCGCTCTGGATAAGAGCGTCTGCTAAATGACTAAAATGTAAATGTTGATGTGATAAAATGGTTCTCGGTAGAACCCTTCATAGAGGGTTCTAGGAAGATCCTTTAGATGATAAGATGGTTCTTGGTAGAACCCTTCATAGAGTGTTCTAGGCACAACCTTTCATAGAGGGTTCTAGGTAGAACCCTTTGCAAAGGGTTCTACCCAGCACCAAAAAGGGTTCTCCTATGGGGACAAACCGAAGAACCCTATATGGTTCTGCTTAGCAACCTTTTTTTCTAAGAGTGTACTAGTGTTCTCAAGTTTCAATGTTTTACCTAGGATGGTACATCTACTATTACCATGGTGACCCAGTATCACACTGTCATCAAATTACACTAAATGTACTAAACAACACATCACACTTGCCTAGCAAATCTATTATTTTTGGGTAAAGTGTCAAGAGAAGGTCATATAAGTTGTAACAACTAAACAATTACTGTGTCTGTCTGTCAAGATTCCATCATGCCATTTGACTAGATTTAAAGAGTAGATGATTGTGTGCCTCGGGTGTGGTTGTGTGTCAGACAGAGTAGCATAGCATAGTGTAATCAACAGACACTCCCTGATCTTTGTTGTAGCATATCATAACAAAAGTAATCGGTCTCTGGTTTTTCCTCTAGACTAGTGGTAAACTGTCTCAACATAAAGATACCCACATACTCATCTGTGGTGTGGCCTACGCTGGCATTGTAGTCATGGCATCCATTGTGGTGACTTCAATGCCATGGCATCCATTGTGGTGACTTGTTTTTCAAGTCACATGTTACTTAATTGACAGACTGCTTTTCAAACATTGTACAGTAGTTGTGGTTAGGGATGGGAATTGCCAGCGACCTCATGATACGATATTTTCACCATACTTAGGTCCTGATACGATATGTATTGTTATTCTCACGATTCTATATGGATTGGGATTCGATACTGCTAAAAACACTAGTTGTAGTCAGTGTGAGATTTAAAGAACCTCCTTACTGCCTTACGGTCACTGTGACCTCTCAGCCCTTCAGTACAGGGTAAGTCATGCTGAGGCCTAGCTATGTGGCTAGCTGATGGATTTACACTGAGGAAATTAAACACCAATGCTATTACATAATGGGCCTCTCTCCAGGCTTGACATCCCCTGACTGACTATCTGTGGATTTGTTTTAAACCCCAGAAGATCAGGGATTAACCCCTACACACAGTGTTACAGAAATAATGTTTAAGTACAATAATAGTATTTTCTAATACATTATAAAGATGATTATCTAATATATTATTAATGTTTACAGAGCTGTGTTATTAATGTCATGTTTTTGTCTTTGAACACAAACTGCATGTCTGGTTTGGTATGGGGCTCTAAATCACAATGACAACCATTGAGGAGTGAACATTGGCTGCTAAGGCCAACTATGGGCTTAGTAGGGCTTTGAGTACCCTCTGAAAGTTAAATGAACAAGTAGCCCTAATTTCACCAAGTACTTTTCAGGCCTCTGTGCTGTGTTTTGGGCAAAAAATCTGTCAAGTGGTAGTGCACATATTGTTCAAATAAAAGGTGCATGGTGCTAGATAGATTGTTGAACCCATCGTATCTCTTTGAAGCAGAAGGTTTTGTAGGCTATACATATTGTAATGTTACTTGTCTGTGTAAACTCACTGTACTAGAAAACTTGTGTGATGATATGTATGTTTGCAGTTTATGATTTAGTGCCAAGACAAATCTTATCTAACGATATTCACACTCTGAGATGAGGGAATCGATACCTATTTTCCTCTCAAATCAAATCAAATGTATTTGTCACATACAAGTGTTTAGCAGATGTTATTGCGGGTGTAGTGAAATGCTTGTGTTTCTAGCTCCAAAAGTGCAGTAATATCTAACAAGTAATATCTAACAATTTCACAACATATACCCAATACACACAAATCTAAATAAAGCAATGGAATTAAGAATATATAAATAAATATATGGACTAGCAATGTCAGAGCGGCATAGACTAAGATACAGTAGAATAGTATATAATACAGTATATACATATGAGATGAGTAATGAAAGATATGTAAACGTTATTAAAGTGACTAGTGTTCCATGTATTAAAGTGGCCAGTGATTTCTAATCTATGTATATAGACAGCAGCCTCTAATGTGCTAGTGAAGGCTATTTAACAGTCTGATGGCCTTGAGATAGAAGCTGTTTTTCAGTCTCTCGGTCCCAGCTTTGATGCACCTGTATTGACCTCGCCTTCTGGATGATAGCGGGGTGAACAGGCAGTGGCTCGGGTGGTTGTTGTCCTTGATTATCTTTTTGGCCTTCCTGTGACATCAGGTGCTGTAGGTGTCCTGGAGGGCTGGTAGTTTGCCCCCGGTGATGCGTTGGGCAGACCGCACCACCCTCTGGAGAGCCCTGCGGTTGCGGGCGGTGCAGTTGCCGTACCAGGCAGTGATACAGCCCGACAGGATGCTCTCAATTGTGCATCTGTAAAAGTTTGTGAGGGTTTTAGGTGCCAAGCCAAATTTCTTCAGCCTCCTGAGGTTGAAGAGGCGCTGTTGCGCCTTCTTCACCACACTGTTTGTGTGGGTGGACCATTTAAGTTTGTCAGTGATGTGTACGCCGAGGAACTTGAAACTTTCCACCTTCTCCACTGCAGTCCCGTTGATGTGGATAGGGGGGTGCTCCCTCTGCTGTTTCCTGAAGTCCACGATCATCTCCTTTGTTTTGTTGACGTTGAGTGAGAGGTTATCTCACCAAACTGTAACAGTGTTAGCCCCTTGACGTTAGCGGAGCTACTTACGACACAATATTGCAGTGTTGGTGTTCTGGTCAGGGCTGGGCAGCAGCAGACTGACTAATCACTACAGCTTAAGCCCTATGCTGTAATAGTACAGAGAGCAAAAAGCAGAGTAACACTGGGCTGGATCTCCACAGCGGTCCACCTGACCATCAGGAGCTAGCAGCCCTACTCTTACACTGCACTCAGAGAGCACAGTGCTAAGCCCCAGAGAGCTCCAACTACCCATGGCTGCCATTTTGAGGAAGTAAGAAGGAGTAACCGGACACCTGTGCTGCCTTCCGCCACAGTTCCCTCCCAGGCAGCACAGGGGAAGGCGGGGGGAGGCGGGGCCAGACCGGATAGACCAGTGTGCCGCATTCTTTTCCAACCTGGAGGCTTTTCTCAGGAACACTGAGATATTCTGTACACATACACACACAGGGAGAGAGGGGAAATAACCATGCCAGGAGGGCAACTCAGACTGTAGCTCTGATTCAGGTCTCTGTACCTACACATACGGTAGGAGAGGAGAAGTGGAACATTCCGGACCAAATTCAAATAACTTTGAATTTTAAAACTTTGTTCCGTTGTTTTCCTGAGAAACTGAGCATTTGTTCCTCCTGGATTCCCAGGGAGATTATTCCGGGACATGCTTCCTGCCTCTGAACAGTTTGACTTGACCGGGCACGTCATTGGAATTCTGCTCTACAACACTGGAAGTTCTGGAACACTGGAAAATGTGTCTGTGACATTTAACGTACAGTAGAGGCTGTTTGGGATTTAAGAAAGTTTTCTATTCACAGCACAGCAGGGCTTTGTGTTGCCAAACAGGATTACAGGATAGCAGGGGTTATAGCTGGAGCCCTCCTGGAGAGGGTAATAAGAGCTAGGGGATTTGTCCTCACAAAGGCCTTTTGTTCACTGGAACCAGTAGAAGTGGAACACAGCTGGGTAGGTTGGAGTGCTGGAGGTGTAGAGATGAGCCTTTTGTGACACTCTGAATGGACACACTGTGCTGGGGTAGCCTCTCTACCTGGCTGGCTAGTAGTTACATTTTAGTCATTTAGCAGACACTCTTATCCAGAGAGATGTGTAAGTAATAGCTCTGAGGGTGAGGGGAAGTAGCAATCCAATTTGTTCCGCAATAAGATCTCCACTATGTTTACTCGTGGAGACAAGACTGAGCCTCAGAGGCTGGCGGGAGAGACTGCGGTGCTGACGGCTTTCAGGACCCTGTCTGATGAAGAGCACTATCTCACAGGGGTCAGTGATCAAAATGCCCTGGATGTTATCAATGATGTGAGGGGTATGAGTGTGGCCACCTTACTTTCAGAGGCCACCTTACTTTATACTGAGGACAGGATTGAATCATGGGAGAATGAGTCCAGTAGCGTTGTGACCTCTCCTCCTAACCCAGGCCAGGTGTCTGTGTCCACGGCCGACCCAGGTCTGGTCCAGGTCACTATGGTGGAGATCTGTAGCGACACAGAGATGGAAGATGAGGAGGGGATCAGCAGCCTCAGCCAATCGGACAAGCATGCCGCCCCTGTAATGTCCTTCCCACCTGACGATGACCAGTGGACAGTGGCAGTGGGCGATGATAACAAGGGTCAGCTGCCACCCGCTGGCCCAGTGAGAGGTGCCATTGAGACAGACATAAAGCTGCCTGTGTTTAAGCCACACAGTCTTGTGGAAAGATCCCTCAAAGACACCTCTGTTCTATACTCTGCGAGGTTTATGGGCAGATCTAACAGTGGGACGGATCTTGGACCGCTCTCCTCTGTCTCCAAACCAGAAGTGCCTAGAGATGGCACAGACACTGATCCCAGGCCTGTGGAGGTGGGTGTGGATGCAGCAGCCATGGGTGCCAAGGGGTTCAGCCATCATCACCACAAAGTAGCCAAAGGCGTCAGCATCAGCCAGGAGGTATTGGGCCTTACTGACATGTGTGCTGGAGACAACGCTGCAGTGGCTTCACCTCTTAACTTGTCTCTCACCTCTGAACCCCAGACATCAGAGGCAGCAGCAGATGACACTGCCTTGCAGTCAGGACAGCCAGAGGACCAAGATTCTGGACAGAGGAAGGAGATGTTGGGGGAAAACACTGGAACTGAGGAGCATACAGAGCATGTCCCCTGCCAGGAATCCCCCTCCGCCCTCTCTGAGTCAAGGCCACCTGAAGCAGTAGAAACATCTTCCCCTAGCCTGGAGAAGCAGCCTGACACTGAAGTGACAAAAGGTATTTTAGGGACTGGTCTGGCCGTGTCGCGTGTTCCTGGAGAGTCCCCAACTGACAGCCAGCCAAGTGCCACTCCTGTCTCTGTCTCGCCCAGGGGCCAAGGTGACATGCCTGCCACAAGGAGGCCCGACACAGACTTGCCCTCCTCCTCACCCTCCAGGGGCACAGCCTCCTCCCAGGCCCCCTCCTTCCAGCTGCCTGCCCTGTTCAGTGGACTGCGGGTTCTGAAGAAAGGGGCTGTGGGGGAGGAGAGGGAGACAGTGTCTGAGATCAAACAGAGAGACGCTGATCTGGCCCTACTGAGACTGAAGAAGACCGTCAACAAAGCCAATAACTTCCCTGAGCAGATCACCTCCAGTAGCAGCACCCCCAAGAAATGGCCCGAGCCCAAACCTGTGTCTGAGACCAAGAGTAATCTCCTGGGGCAGCTCAGCCAGCTGCTCAACCTAGACGGGACCAAGGCAGAGGACAAGCCGGACCCACTGCTAGAGCTCAGAGACAGGGAGCCTGAGAGGGGGGAGGAGGGGGCGACAGATAAGGTTCCAGAGCCCATCCCCACCAACCCACCAGCAGACAGCAGGAATGCCTCAGACACAACATTCGACACCTTTAAGAGTCTCTTCAGCTCCAAACCTGCTAAAAGGGATACAGCGGATCCTGTGGATTTAGAGGCTGTCAAGAAAAAAAACAAAAGTGAGAAGGACCTGCTGAAATCCATCTTTGAGAGAACCTCCAAGTCTCCCAGCAGTGAGCAAAAAGGTCCAGCGGAGTCTAAAGTATGTACTGTGTGTGTCTAACGCAAAGGTTTATTCCTTCTGTATTTTATAGAACCCTATTTATTGTTCGTTTTTTCTCAGATCATCAAGGTTTTCAAATGTATGAATGTAGAGCCATTTTAAGTATATGCTGTATTTTGTTGTGCACCTGCAAGGCAGACAGGACAGTAGGGTATTAGATTTGGTCATGATCTTGATTTGAGATGGTCTTATGTCTTATCACCTGTTGACTTTTCAGTTAGATTGCAGATACTCTTATCTTGGGCACCAACTGTGTTGTAAGTCTGTATGTTCTGTGTTAATTGAGGTATGATCTGCTGTCTTTCCTCCCAGTCTGAGGTCACCTCCCCTACAGACAGTGAAGACCGGACCCCCAGGCGGCTCCAGGCCATCTGGCCCCCGCCCAAGCTCAAGGATGAGGAGGAGAAGGTGGGGCTCAGATACACCGAGGCAGGTAAGGGCTGGCACCATCCTGGAGCTCTCCACTTACTCTACACCACATCTACAGTATCATACAATGTCCTGTTAATAAATGCCTGTATGCTGTTGTATGCCTATACTAATTCTCACAAGACAAGATAGGCTTAACAAAAATAAACTGAGTACCTCCACCCTGCTTTATCCAGGTCAGGCGCTCTCCTTACTTAATCGGTCTAGTTAGTCTAATTGAGAGGTGACACAAACATGTAGTGCAGCCCTGCTGGTATCTACAGAGCCAGCTAATCCCAGAGACAGGGTGTAACATGTCTCTTAAATCCATTTAAAGCAGGAATGCACTGAAACCTTCCCCCCACAGTAATGCTGCTGTCTGTTGAGATGTCTGGTAGAATCACACAGTATAGTGGAGCTTTGGGAGGTAGTTTGGGGATAGGCTGTGGCTGGGCAGCCTGCCATTCTCTCAGCCTGGCTGTCCTTTCTCTGTCTCCCTGTAACACTCTGGCTCCACGGACCTTTATTCTTGAGCCAGGGTTGTTCATGTTCATTTGTTTTGGGTGTATTTCTATGTTGGGGTGTCTAGGTTGTGGTATTTCTATGTTGGGTGTTTGTATTCATTGACTCCCAATCGGAGGTAACGAGTGTCAGCTGTTCGGCTCGTTATCTCTGATTGGGAGCCATATTTAGGCTGTATGTTGTCCTGTGGGGTTTGTGGGTTTTTGTTTCCGTGTTGCTGCTGTCTGTATCAGTAGTGGAACTTCACGTATCGTATTTTGTTGTTTTCTCGTGTTGCACTTTAATTAAATAAAGTCATCATGTTTCTCGGAACACGCGCTGCGCTTTGGTCTCATCATTCACACGATCGTGACAGAAAAACCCACCATACCAGGACCAAGCAGCGTGTCCAGGAGCCGAGGGTCTGGACATGGGAGGAGTTATTGGACGGAGAGGATCCTTGGGCACAACCGGAGGAGTATCACCGCCCTCGGGAAGAGCTGGAGGCAGCCAAAGCCGAGAGGAGGTGGTACGAGGAGGCAGCGCGAAGGCGAGGCTGGAAGCCCGTGGAAGAGAGGCAACCCCAAAAAGTTTTTGGGGGGGGGCACATGGCTTGGGTGGCTGGGCAGCAGGAAGCTGCCACAGGGAGTATAGGTGAGAGGGCTAACGGAGTACGGGAGCCATTGGCGAGAAGAGGCAGGGATGTGTGTGTGGCACGGCGTGAAGGACTGAGGTGTGTTGCCAGTCCGGTCCGGCCCGTTCCTGATCCTCGGTTGAGGCCAGTGGTGTGTGTTCCCGGTATGGACCGGCCTGTTCCTACTCCACGCACCAGGGATACGGTGCGCTTCGCCAGCCCGGCCCGGCCTGTTCCGGCCACTCGCACCAGGGATACGGTGTGCGTCGCCAGCTCAGCCCTGCCTGTTCCTACTCCACGCACCAGGGAGACGGTGCGCTTCGCCAGCCCAGCCCGGCCTGTTCCTACTCCACGCACCAGGGATACGGTGCGCTTCGCCAGCCCGGCCCGGCCTGTTCCGGCCACTCGCACCAGGGATACGGTGTGCGTCGCCAGCCCAGCCCGGCCTGTTCCTGCTCTCCGCACTAGGCGTGAGGTGAGTCCCCAGGGTCCAGCATGCCCTGTTCCGGCTCCCCGCACTAGGCGTTATGGGAGTCCCCAGGGTCCAGCATGCCCTGTTCCGACTCTCCGCACTAGCCCTGAGATGCGTGTCCTCAGCCCGGTACCTCCAGTTCCGGCACCACGCATCAGGCCTACGGTGCGTCCCCAGGGCCAAGCATGCCCTGTTGCTTCTCCCCGCACTAGCCCTGTGATGCGTGTCCTCAGCCCGGTACCTCCAGTTCCGGCACCACGCAACAGGCCTACGGTGCGCCTCAGAGGGCCTGAACTGTCCGTCTGCCCAACGGGGCCTGAACTGTCCGTCTGCCCAACGCCGTCTGAACTGCCCGTCTGCCCAACGCCGTCTGAACTGCCCGTCTGCCCAACGCCGTCTGAACTGCCCGTCTGCCCAACGCCGTCTGAACTGCCCGTCTGCCCAACGGCGCCTGAACTGCCTGTCGGCCCAACGCCGTCTGAACTGTCCGTCTGCCCAACGCCGTCTGAACTACCCGTCTGTACAGAGCCTACAAAGCCGCCCGTCTGCCATGAGCCTTCAGCGCCGTCCGCCAGATCGGAGCCGCTAGAGCTCTCCGCCAGACAGGATCAGCCAGAGCCTTCCGCCAGACAGGATCAGCCAGAGCCTTCCGCCAGACAGGATCAGCCAGAGCCTTCCGCCAGACAGGATCAGCCAGAGCCTTCCGCCAGACAGGAGCAGCCAGAGCCTTCCGTCAGACCGGAGCAGCCAGAGCCTTCCGTCAGACCGGATCAGCAAGAGCCTTCCGCCAGACCGGATCAGCCAGAGCCTTCCGCCAGACAGGATCAGCCAGAGCCTTCGGCCAGACAGGATCAGCCAGATCCGTCGGCCAGCCATGAGCAGCCAGATCCTTCGGCCAGCCATGAGCAGCCAGATCCTTCAGCCAGCAATGAGCCGTTCAGCCAGGATCCGCCTGAGCCAGCCAGCCAGGATCCGCCATTCAGTCCGGAGCTGCCCCTCAGTCCGGTGCTGCCACTTAGTCAGGTACTGTTCCTTAGCCTGGTGCTGGTCCTTATCCCGGTGCTGGTCCTTAGCCCGGTGCTGCCCCTTAGCCCGGTGCTGCCCCTTAGCCCGGTGCTGTCCCTTATCCCGGTGCTGGTCCGTAGTCCGGTGTTGCCCCTTAGTCCGGTGCCGCCCCTTAACCCAGTGGGGTGTAGTGGGGGGGTGGTAATGTGTAGGAGGCTAAGTAAGTGGGTAATGACTATGGTGGGGTGGGGACCACGACCTGGGCCAGAGCCGCCACCTGGACAGACGCCCACCCAGACCCTCCCCTAGACTGTTTGCTGGTGCGCCCGGAGGTCGCACCTTTAGGGGGGGGTAATGTAACACTCTGGCTCCACGGACCTTTATTCTTGAGCAGGGTGTCATGTTCATTTGTTTTGGGTGATTTCAGTTGGGGGTCTAGTTGTATTTCTATGTGGGTGTTATCATTGACTCCGAATCGAGTAAGATTGTCAGCTTTCGCTCGTTATCTCTGATGGGAGCCATATTAGGCTGATGTGTCCTGTGGGGTTTGTTTGTTTCGGTTGTGCTGTCGTACAGTAGTGGAACTTCACGTATGTATTTTGTTGTTTCTGTGTCACTTATTAATAAATCATGTTCTCGGAAAGCGCTGCCTTGGGCATCATTCACAGATCTGACCTCCCTTTGAAGAAGAATACTAACACAAATAGGGTAAAGGCACACAGGACTCTAAATAGGCTGATCTAATTACATTACAGGGCGAAGTTCATTTATGTGTGAAACACACCCATGCTGTTTCACACAGCACACACACACACAACAACACACACACCATTACCATTAACCATTAGCTCTCATGCTTTCACTCTCTCAGAATATTAGCCTTGGAACAGCATTGGTGGTTTGTTCAAATTGCTTGTGTAACCCTAATTATTTAACTTATTTATTTATCGTTTACCCCGAAGTGCTCGATGATAAAGAGTCTGGTTACAATCAAGTTATTTTCTATAGTTTAATCCTTCCAAGTAGCAGCAACACAAACTTTCGTGGCACAACAGGTTACATCTTCACTTATCTGTCACACAACATCTCTCATGGGAATTCCTCCTCACATGCAGGTGAGTCTGGGAAGAATATTTTCAGAATAAGAGTCCCAACATAAAAATGTATGGCAATGCCATAATAAAAGTCTCAGATACACATTACATATTTCTGATTATATACTGAACAAAAATATAAATGCAACATGCAACAATTTCAAAGATTTTACTGAGTTACAGTTCATATAAGGACATCTGTCAATTGAAATAAATTCATTAAGCCCTAATTTATGGATTTCACATGACTGGGAGTACAGACATATACAGTGGGGAGAACAAGTATTTGATACACTGCCGATTTTGCAGGTTTTCCTACTTACAAAGCATGTAGAGGTCTGTAATTTTGATCATAGGTACACTTCAACTGTGAGAGACGGAATCTAAAACAGAAATCCAGAAAATCACATTGTATGATTTTTAAGTAATTAATTTGCATTTTATTGCATGACATAAGTATTTGATCACCTACCAACCAGTAAGAATTCCGGCTCTCACAGACCTGTTAGTTTTTCATTAAGAAGCCCTCCTGTTCTCCACTCATTACCTGTATTAACTGCACCTGTTTGAACTCGTTACCTGTATAAAAGACACCTGTCCACACACTCAATCAAACAGACTCCAACCTCTCCACAATGGCCAAGACCAGAGAGCTGTGTAAGGACATCAGGGATAAAATTGTAGACCTGCACAAGGCTGGGATGGGCTACAGGACAATAGGCAAGCAGCCTGGTGAGAAGGCAACAACTGTTGGCGCAATTATTAGAAAATGGAAGAAGTTCAAGATGACGGTCAATCACCCTCGGTCTGGGGCTCCATGCAAGTTCTCACCTCGTGGGGCATCAATGTTCATGAGGAAGGTGAGGGATCAGCCCAGAACTACACGGCAGGACCTGGTCAATGACCTGAAGAGAGCTGGGACCACAGTCTCAAAGAAAACCATTAGTAACACACTACGCCGTCATGGATTAAAATCCTGCAGCGCACGCAAGGTCCCCCTGCTCAAGCCAGCGCATGTCCAGGCCCATCTGAAGTTTGCCAATGACCATCTGGATGATCCAGAGGAGGAATGGGAGAAGGTCATGTGGTCTGATGAGACAAAAATAGAGCTTTTTGGTCTAAACTCCACTCGCCGTGTTTGGAAGAAGAAGAAGGATGAGTACAACCCCAAGAACACCATCCCAACCGTGAAGCATGGAGATGGAAACATCATTCTTTGGGGATGCTTTTCTGCAAAGGGGACAAGACGACTGCTCCGTATTGAGGGGAGGATGGATGGGGCCATGTATCGCGAGATCTTGGCCAACAACCTCCTTCCCTCAGTAAGAGCATTGAAGATGGGTCGTGGCTGGGTCTTCCAGCATGACAATGACCCGAAACACACAGCTAGGGCAACGAAGGAGTGGCTCCGTAAGAAGCATCTCAAGGTCCTGGAGTGGCCTAGCCAGTCTCCAGACCTGAACCCAATAGAAAATCTTTGGAGGGAGCTGAAAGTCCATATTGCCCAGCGACAGCCCCGAAACCTGAAGGATCTGGAGAAGGTCTGTATGGAGGAGTGGGCCAAAATCCCTGCTGCAGTGTGTGCAAACCTGGTCAAGACCTACAGGAAACGTATGATCTCTGTAAATGCAAACAAAGGTTTCTGTACCAAATATTAAGTTCTGCTTTTCTGATGTATCAAATACTTATGTCATGCAATAGAATGCAAATTAATTACTTAAAAATCATACAATGTGATTTTCTGGATTTCTGTTTTAGATTCCGTCTCTCACAGTTGAAGTGTACCTATGATAAAAATTACAGACCTCTACATGCTTTGTAAGTAGGAAAACCTGCAAAATCGGCAGTGTATCAAATACATGTTCTTCCCACTGTATATATTTTGAAGTAGGGGCTTGGATCAGAAAACCGTTCAGTATCTAGTGTGACCACCATTTGCCTCATGCAGCGCGACACATCTCCTTCTCATAGAGTTCATCAGGCTGTTGATTGTGGCCTGTGGAATGTTGTTCCACTCCTCTTCAATGGCTGTGCGAAGTTGCTGAATGTTCACGGGAACTGGAACACGCTGTCGTACACGTCGACCCAAAGCATCCCTAACATGCACAATGGATGACATGTCTGGTGAATATGCAGGCCATGGAAGAACTGGGACATTTCAGCTTCCAGGAATTGTGTACAGATCCTTGCAACATGGGGCCGTGCATTATCATGCTGAAACATGAGGTGATGGCAGCGGATGAATGGCATGACAATGGGCCTCAGGATCTCATCACAGTATCTCTGTGCATTTAAATTGCTATCGATAAAATGCAATTGTGTTCGTTGTCCGTAGCTTATGCCAGTCCGTACCATAGCCCCACAGCCACCATGGGGCACTCTGTTCACAATGTTGACATCAGCAAACCACTCGCCCACACGACGCCATCTGCCCGATATAGTTGAAACCGGGATTCATCCATGAAGAGCACACTTCTCCAGCGTGCCAGTGGCCATCGAAGGTGAGCATTTGCCCACTGAAGTCAGTTACGAAGCCCTGGTGAGAACGACGAGCTCTCAGATGAGCTGCCCTGAGACGGTGGCTGACAGTTTGTGCAGAAATTCTTCGGTTGTGCAAACCCACAGTTTCATCAGCTGTCCGGGTGGCTGGTCTCAGACGATCCCGCAGGCGAAGAAGCCGGATGTGGAGGTCCTGGGCTGGTGTTGTTACACGTGGTCTGCGCTTGTGAGGCCGGTTGGACGTACTGCCAAATTCTCTAAAACGACGTTGGTAGAGAAATAAACATTACATTCTCTGGCAACAGCTCTGGTGGACATTCCTGCAGTCAGCATTCCAATTTTGCACGCTCCCTCAAAACTTCAGACATCTGTGGCATTGTGTTGTGTGACAAAACTGCACATTTTAGAGTGGCCCTTTATTGTCCCCAGCAGAAGGTGCACCTGTGTAATGATCATGCTGTGTAATCAGCATCTTGATATGCCACACCTGTCAGGTCAATGTATTATCTTGGCAAAGGAGAAATGCTCACTAACATGGATCTAAACAGATTTGTGTAAGAAATGTGAAATAAATAATATTTTTGTGCATGTGGAAAGTTTCTGGGATCTTTTATTTAATTTCATGAAATATGGGACCAACACTTTACATGTTGCATTTAAGTTTTTTTTTAGTATCAAATATATATTTCTTATTCCAAAGCCATGGCTGCACTTGCATACTTTAAACCACCAGACAAGCATACTGTGATATCCCCTCTAAAACAGATTGCTTAGCTCAAATAGCTTTACTGCTGAGTTTGCTAACTTGTTCATACTGCCAGAAGCTCTTTATATAGTTCATTGCACAATTACCTGAAAAAAAAAGAAAAGAAAGTGATGTGGTTATCGAAGACATTCTTATTCTCACATACACGTGAGTGTACAAAACATTAAGAGAGAATACATTCAAGTGCCTTTGAACGGGGGATGGTAGTAGGTGCCAGGTGCACCGGTTTGTGTCAAGAACTGCAATGCTGCTGGGTTTTCACGCTCAACAGTTTCCCATGTGTATCAAGAATGGTCCATCACCCAAAAGACATCCAGCCAACTTGACACAACTGTGGGAAGCACAGGGGTCAACATGGGCCAGCATCCCTGTGTAACAGTTTCGACATCTTGTAAAGTCCATGCCCCGATGAATTGAGTCTGTTCTCAGGGCAAAAAGGGGGGTGCAACTCAATATTAGGAAGATGTTCTTAATGTTTTGTACACTCAGTGTATGTTGGCCTTATAGAATATATAATACTATAGTTTACTGTGGGATGATGAGGCAACGTATTCAAATTATTTCACAGTACGAGCAAGGACATTAAAAACATGTTGGTTTAGTTTCCTAAATAGGCTCTTTTACTGGCATAGCTGTAACTGATCAACCCTACAGTAACTGTTGTCAGATGTCTCTTTTGTTCCTCCACATCAGCCTAATAAAATATGGAAGCGGAGAGGATCATGTTTCACTGCCATATTATTTATCCCTGCAATCACAGGTTAATCTTGTGAGCATTTCACTATTGTACTAGTTAATGTATGATCACAGAGTAAAGTATCTCATGAATGACCAGTAAAGTTGGTTGCTATTGAAAGTATCATCTCTAGTGGACATTGAAACAATCCTTCAAACTAATGTGACATTTGAGATGGTCTTATGCTGTGTAATTGTATGTAGAAATATGAATGACATGATGATGTCCTACAGTAAGTGTCTGTCTCTTTTCCCTTCCAGAGCACCAGGCTGCCCTCTTACAGCTGAAGAGAGAATGCAAAGAGGAGGTGGAGAAAGTACATGTAAGTTAACCTCCTTGTTTGAAACAGTTCACTACATATCATTCCTACTGGTTTCAGCGCTGGGGTTTGTTTCAATCAAGAGAGAGAGGTCCGCAAATGCAGTCACCTCACCATGTCCTCCTGGAATGTAATAACAAAGTAACTGATAGTTAGTGAACCCAGGGAACTGCAGTTTTCTTCAGAGGCACTAGATGTCACCAATCAACCACAGAAGCAAAGCCAACCTGTGTCTTTAGTAACTGGACTTTCCACGCTTGATGTCTGAGCTTGTCTCGATGTCCCATAGTGTAGTTAGACACATCTCTTCATCACCATAGAACAGCCTTTAGTTTCTATCTAAATGTTATTGGCCTCATCTGTTGGGCTTAGTTAAAACTTTATGTCAAAGGGGGTCTGGTGTCGTCTTTTGACTCCTTCAAATGGTAATTTCAACCAAAGCATCTCAGTAATTGACACACCTCTATGGCATAGCACTGTTGTCAGTCCCAAGGTTTTGTCAGCACAGAAATGATCAAATGTGTTTGACTCTGTTTGAATGATAGTGCTCACCTCCAGTAGGACAGACCACATTCACATTTGATGTGAGGTCAGCATTGATTGGGGAAGCGGTGATGTCCTGCTAGTTCCTCATATGAAAGAAGATCACCATTTACAACCTGGATGCTGGATGCACCCAGAGATCTAATTTACTGAACTGTCTCTCTCCAACTGGAAATGTCTCCATTATTTCTTGTAAGATCTAGTTCTGAGTTCCACTTTGTTGCTGAAGCACTATAATGCATTGTTTGTTCAACTGAGCCACCAGTGCCAAGGTGGTGCAATTGAAAGCAGTATTTCAAATAGTTTCTCACAGATCTCAGAGGAGTAGTCAAATGTATTGGTTATGATTTCTCTGTCTTCCATGAACAGCCTGAGATTAATAAGAGTACAAGTCAAAACATGCCAGATAATAGAGCAGACTTAACCTTATTTATGGAACGATTTCTTTGAAGAACAAGCTTATTGGAGCAAAGTGTCTCTGGAAAGTGTGTCTGAAAATTACTATTATTACAGCAGTGCTGATTCAGCACATATAGGTTACTCTGTCTTCCTCTGTGTGTTACCCTGTCATTTGTCCCTGATCCCTTGCATTAGGCCATGATATTGACACTCATAAACATGTAGTTAAACCATGAGAGACGATAGAAACGTGCCTAATACATTTTCTTCATTATTATCTGCTCTTCATTATGTTGTCAGTTATTGTACTTTTCTGTTGGGATTAAAGATTGGAATGAAAATGAGTGGGCATGATGTTAGAAATTACTACATTTCATCTCATGAAGGTCATGATGAACATTTTCCTCACATGCTCTCATTGAGTCACCCAGTGGTCTTTTTGGAGCCCCACAGTATGTGATTCTGTTTCATATGGCTGAGGGGGATGTTTCTGACTGATCTATGTGCTCCTGCTCAACACAGGCAGAGTTTGAACTCCAGATCTTCCAGGTGCGTATGGAGCATGCTGTCTCCATGTCCCATCTGGAGGGAGTCATCGGCAAGATGCAGACAGACTGTCACCAGGCCTTCAGCCTGGGACACGAGAGGGGCGAGCTCCGTGAGGCCTGCGTGTCCACCGAGGACGACCTGCCTCCCAAAACATTTCGTAATGTCTGCATCCAGACAGACAGGGAGACCTTCCTCAGGACGCCCGAGGGTGAGGCCAGCCGGCCCGGTCTCGGCCCCAGTCAGAACATGCCTAAGAAACTCAATCTGGACTCCATCAACCTGAGTCTGCATGGAGGAGCCTCAGGACTCCCCGGCCAACCTCCCCCACCCCCTCCCCCTCCTCCCCTTCCTCCCCTCCCTGGCCAATCAGGACCGCCTCCACCTCCTCCTCCGCCTCCCCCTCCCCCGTTACCTGGCAACATGGGGCCACCGCCTCCACCCCCCCTCCCAGGTTTTAGTCCCCCTCCCCCCCCTCCGGGGTTACCTGGAGCTGGCCCTCCCCTTCCTCCCCCTCCACCTGGGTGCGGCCCACCCCTTCCTCCTGGGGGTGGATTTGGGTTTGGGTTCGGCCAGGCAGCGGAGAAGGCCCCAAGGAAACCTGCGTTGGAACCTGCTACTCCCATGAAGCCTCTATACTGGACCAGGATACAGATCCAGGACAATAAGTATGTACTCCTTCTATAGCCCATTCACAACTTTTATCATTATCCCTGTCTCCCCAGTGTGTCACTTCCATCAGGTACAGAGACACTCTCATTCAGTAAACCATCAGGCTGGGTTGACCTCCCCTGCACCAGTACTCTGGATGAGGACAGGTGCCCCAGTGAGATGCAGTAGATTATTCAGCTCATTTCCAGTGGCTGTGGTTTGTACTGCTGGATACCAGGCTCCCAGCTTTATGGCCTTGTATTTCTAAGGCTGGATTAGTAGAGGAAGTTGACTTGTGGTTCACACTCTCTGGTCCTGGCCAATGGTGGAGGGTCGAGTGGGCCACAGCGGTTTCATGTCTGCTATAAAGTTTACAGGAGAACGGAATTAACCAGGACTCTTAACTGTAACAACTTTTTGGGCTAATGGACATTATGAGGGGAAATACAGTACACTTTGAAATAATGCCAGGTCAACGAACAAATGTCAAGATACACACAATTTTACTGTGTATACAGAGCAGGCTTTATGAGGAACCTGTAATAGGGAAGGAATAGTTAACACTAGTGTTTCCCCTAGGATTTCTTTCAGCAGATGTGGCAGATTTAGCAGGGGATTAATGGAGTCTTCCTGCAGGGGGGGTGACATTTACATTTACATTTTAGTCATTTAGCAGACGCTCTTATCCAGAGTGACTTACAGTTAGTGAGTGCATACATTTTTCATACTGGCCCCCCGTGGGAAACGAACCCACAACCCTGGCGTTGCAAGCGCCATGCTCTACCAACTGAGCTACAGGGTTACATCTTCCTGGGGCATGCATCTATACATCTACGGTTTGCCGCTGCTAAATGCATATAGGGGAAATGCATACATGACATATAGGGGAATTGCATACATGACATAGGAGAATTGCATACATGACATATAGGGGAAATGCATACATGACATATAGGGGAAATGCATACATGACATATAGGGGAATTGCATACATGACATATAGAGGAATTGCATACATGACATATAGGGGAAATGCATAAATGACAATACAGGCATGGTCCGGTCATTTATAAATGTTGTCTACCTTGGAATTACAAAGGCTTTGTGAAGTTTATGTAGATTTACTTTCCCAACATTTTCCAACAATGTTTCCTCCACTGCAGCATGCTGGACTCAGTCAGAGCCCATTGCGTGGAGTTATTTGAGTTGGTCCCTATGAAGGCAGTATGAAATGAAAGGGTGGATTTTCAGGAGTATCATTATGTTCTTGGTTAAAGCCTCTTCTGGGCTGTCCCAGACAGATACTTTCACTATTGCTGTGGGAAGCCAATAGCAAATAGGACCCAATTGCACTCACGTCACCCTAATTGAGTCTCTGGCTATGTGGTTGATTGCTGTGGTATTTCAGCCATGACTAGCCAGCCAACCTTTTAGAATGTTTGTTGAGTTCACTTCATCTCCACAGTTATAAAATGTCTCCTCTCTGGAGGAACAGCCCGGGCCGGCCAAACCCTGACGTAATGACTGGACAGTAGAAAGAAACTCATGAAACCAAACACATTTAAGGCATATCTAAAGTATATACAGTATGGATACAGTGCTTTAACCTACAGTTGAAGTGGGAAGTTTACATAAACTTAGGTTGGAGTCATTAAAACTAGTTTTTCAACCACTCAACATATTTCTTGTTAACAAACTATAGTTTTGGCAAGTCGGTTAGGACATCTACTTTGTGCATGACACAAGTAATTTTTCCAACAATTGTTTACAGACAGATTATTTCACTTATAATTCACTGTATCACAATTCCAGTGGGTCAGAAGTTTACATGCACTAAGTTGACTGTGCCTTTAAACAGCTTGGGAAATTACAGAAAATGATGTCATGGCTTTAGAAGCTTCTGATAGGCTAATTGACATCATTTGAGTCAATTGGAGGTGTACCTGTGGATGTATTTCAAGGCCTACCTTCAAACTCAGTGCCTCTTTGCTTGACATCATGGGAAAATCAAAAGAAATCAGCCAATACCTCAGAAAAATTATTGTAGACCTCCACAAGTCTGTTTCATCCTTGCGAGCAATTTCCAAACGCCTGAAGGTACCACGTTCATCTGTACAAACAATAGTACACAAGTATAAACGCCATGGGACCACGCAGCCATCATACGGCTCAGGAAGGAGACGCGTTCTGTCTCCTAGAGATGAACGTACTTTGGTGCGAAAAGTGCAAATCAATCCCAGAACAACAGCAATGGACCTTGTGAAGATGCTGGAGGAAACATGTACAAAAGTATCTATATCCACAGTAAAACTAGTCCTATATCGACATAACCTGAAAGGCCGCTGAGCAAGGAAGAAGCCACTGCTCCAAAACCGCCATAAAAAAGCCAGACTACGGTTTGCAACTGCACATGGGGACAAAGATCGAACTTTTTGGAGAAATGTCCTCTGGTCTGATGAAACAAAAATAGAACAGTTTGGTCATAATGACCATCGTTATGTTTGGAGGAAAAAGGGGGGTGCTTGCAAGCCGAAGAACACCATCCCAATCGTGAAGCACGGGGGTGGCAGCATCATGCTGTGGGGGTGCTTTGCTGCAGGAGGGACTGGTGCACTTCACAAAATAGATGGCATCATGAGGAAGGAAAATTATGTGGATATATTGAAGCAACATCTATAGACATCAGTAAGGAAGTTAAAGCTTGATCGCAAATGGGTCTTCCAAATGAACAATGACCCCAAGCATACTTCCAAAGTTGTAGCAAAATGGCTTAAGGACAACAAAGTCAAGGTATTGGAGTGGCCATTACAAAGCCCTGACCTCAATCCTATAGAACATTTGTGGGCAGAACTGAAAAAGCGTGTGAGAGCAAGGAGGCCTACAAACGTGACTCAGTTACACCAGCTCTGTTGGGAGGAATGGGACAAAATTCACCCAACTTATTGTGGGAAGCTTGTGGAAGGCTACCCGAAACATTTGACCCAAGTTAAACAATTTAAAGGCAATGCTACCAAATACTAATTGAGTGTATGTAAACTTCTGACCCACTGGGAATGTGATGTAGTAAATAAAACCTGAAATAAATTATTCTCAGCACTATTATTCTGACATTTCACATTCTTAAAATGAAGTGGTGATCCTAACTGACCTAAGACAGGGAATTTTTACTAGGATTAAAAGTCAGGAATTGTGAAAAACTGAGTTTAAATGTATTTGGCTAAGGTGTATGTAAACTTCCGACTTCAACTGTACATCTACAGAAGCAGTGTAAAAAAGTGTCAAACAGTAGGCCTTTTACATTTTACAAAGGGATCCTGTATAGAAAGTTGCTAAATCATGCAACATTACACAGTAGTATCAGTAGATAAACTCTAATTTGAAAGTCAACATGACATGTGTTATACACTGAGTATACAAACATTAATAACACCTGCTCTTTCCATGACATAGACTGACCAGGTGAATCCAGGTGAATGCTATGATCCCTTATTCATGTCACTTAAATCAGTGTAGATTAAGGGGAGGGGACAGGTTAAAGATAGATTTTTAAGCCTTGAGACAATTGAGATATGGATTGTGTATGTGTGCCATTCAGAGGGTGAATGGGCAAGACAAAATATGTAAGTGCCTTTGAACGGGGTGTGGTAGTAGGTGCCAGGCGCACCGGTTTGTGTCAAGAACTGCAACGCTGCTGGGTCTTTCACGCTCAACAGTTTCCCGTGTGTATCAAGAACGGTCCACCACCCAAAGGACATCCAGCCAACTTGACACAACTGTGTGAAGCATTGGAGTCAACATGGGCCAGCATCCCTGTGGAACGCTTTCGACACGTTGTAAAGTCCATGCCCCGACGAATTGAGGCTGTTCTGAGGGCAAAAGGGGGGGTGTAACTCAATATTAGGAAGGTGTTCCTAATGTTTGGTATACTCAGTGTACATACAGTAAGTCTGCCTCACATGGGTGGGTCCTGATGAACCTCTCAGTAAACCTGCAGCCTGTGAAGCTGCCTGACCTGGCCTATATACAGGCTGAGTTATGGCTGACTTCATCTTCCTCTCCCTGCGTTATCAGAGACTAGGAGGCTGGATCACTAATCATGCAGAGTCTAAGGCTACCACACTGTCTGACACAGGGGATAGTTGTCTTCTGTGAGTTAAAAGAGGAATGGAAAGTAAAGGTAGCAGAGCAGGGCTGAACTCTGGGAGACTCCTGTACAGAGACATCTTCAGACTCCCTCTCTGTTTGCTTTCAGTGTTACCCAGCAACAGAGGAAACAGAATACCTCCTATCTTCCTGGTAGTTTATTTGAAATGCTCCTTTCGTGCTGAAATCTCACATCTCAAACTCAGGGACACTTAAGTCACATGATTTTCGGAAGCCTCAGTCATAAATGTCACATTATTAAAAAGTGTAAATTCATATCGGTTTTCTCTGCATTCTGCAAATTCTCACTCCAGCAAACGTCTGCTATAAATCAAAAGATGGAAGTAAACACTGGACAGCCCAAGTAAACATCAAATAAACTGCTTCATATCTGTTTATCTCTAGCACAGGACAATTTGTACTGAGCAGTCCACTAGCTATTCTACTTTTCCCAAGAAGTCAGCTCTGTAACACACTCTTCTGTCATCACAGTAACACTGTCATTAAAGAGGGTTTTATGTTGAATTGTGGTGCTCCTCAGCGTATGGAAGTGTATCTCTCCGCCAGCCCCAGACTAAAAGCCTGTCTCTTGTTTCCAGTAATAATACACTGTGGGGTTCTCTGGAGGAACCAGACATCGTAGACACCAAGGAGTTTGAGGACCTTTTCTCCAAGGCCACTCTGCAGCCAAAGAAGAAGCCCCTCTCAGACACCTTTGAGAAGAAGGCCAAGACTAAGAAGGTTGGTTTAACTCATCCATTCTCTTCTCTCCCCTGTGCTGCTGCTGTTATATTGTGTTGGCTACTGCTGTTTTTCCTCTCTCAGGAGGAGCATCTTAAATATCTTGGGTTTGGAAAGTGATGACTGCTATTGGACTTTCCATGCAGGGACCCATATGCTGTAACTCTAAAGCTGTCATCAGTAACGATGACACACTCCATTTGGCATGGCACGTTGTATTTCTCAGACACCTGTCTTCTCTAAAGAAAATGCTTTGTCATCATAATGTGTTTAATTGTTACCACACGAGGGCGTTAGTGGCACATTTTAATTCATATTTCCTTTACTAGAGTTTCCTCGTCAATATCAGGAATGATTGAGATTAGGTAGTCAGAAAGAAAATATTGACATAAACACATTTTTGAGGACGTTATTACTTTTACTCCAGTAAGAGCATCTGCTAAATGAGTACAATGGTGTCAGCAGATTATCCCGTATTCTCCAACCCTAGACCACTTACCTCTGGAACATTCCTTTAGGAGCTCTGCTGAGTTAGTCCAAGTAAGGATCCCAGCCTTACATGGAGTCTAATCTAGAAAGAACACAAAGTGTGCAAGGAGTAAATCACTCCCCTCCCTTTTCTCCTCTTACTCCCAACTGTCCAATTCCTGGTGATTGGTGTAGCCAGCTCTTGGACTAGGTCAAAGCAGGCTATCAGGTTCAGTTCTCTTCTCCTGGCCCTGTGTATGGAAGCAGAGCTGAGTAGAATCCAACTTTCGAAGACCTGCTGCTTACACTTCACAATCAGCTGCAGATTAAACTGTTCTATGCCATGGCTTGGAATGTTCTTTGGATTGTACTTCCAACTTAGTTTGATAGTTATTTTCCTACAGAACCTGGTCGTAGTTATCGTTTGAGAGAAATTATAGAACATGCACAATGACTAATGTTTTCCTGGGCTAATGCAGCTAGATCAGATATCAACGTGAGCTAGGAGGCTGACCCTAGACCCACTCCAATTCGCATACTGCCCCAACAGATCCACAAATAATGCAATCTCAATCGCACTCCACACTGCCCTTTCCCACCTGGACAAAAGGAACACCAATGTGAGAATGCTGTTCATTGACTACAGCTCAGCGTTCAACACCATAGTGCCAACAAATCTCATCACTAAGCTAAGGACCCTGGGACTAAACACCTCCCTCTGCAACTGGATCCTGGACTTCCTGACGGGCCGCCCCCAGGTAGTAAGGTTAGGCAACAACACATCTGCCACGCTGATCCTCAACACTGGGGCCCCTCAGGGGTGCGTGCTTAGTCCCCTCCTGTACTCCCTGTTCACCCACGACTGCGTGGCCAAGCACGACTCCAACACCATCATTACATTTACTGACGACACAACAGTGGTAGGCCTGATCACCAACAACGATGAGACAGCCTATAGGGAGGAGATCAGAGACCTGGCAGTGTGGTGCCAGGACAACAACCTCTCCCTCAATGTGAGCAAGACAAAGGAGCTGATCGTGGACTATAGGAAAAGGAGTGCCGAACAGGCCCCCATTAATATCGACGGGGCTGAAGTGGAGCGGGTCGAGAGTTTCAAGTTCCTTAGTGTCCACATCACCAACGAACTATCATGATCCAAACACACCAAGACAGTTGTGAAGAGGGCATGACAACACCTTTTCCTCCTCAGGAGACTGAAAAGATTTGGCATGGATGCCCAGATCCTCAAAACGTTTTACAGCTGCACCATCGAGAGCATCCTGACCGGTTGCATCACTGCCTGGTATGGCAACTGCTCAGCATCTGACCGTAAGGTGCTACAGAGGGTAGTGCGTACGGCCCAGTACATCACTGGGGCCAAGCTTCCTGACATCCAGGACCTATATACTAGGCGGTGCCAGAGAAAGGCCAAATAAATTGTCAAAGTCTCCAGTCGCCCAAGTCATAGACTGTTCTCTCTGCTACTGCTCAGCAAGCGGTACCGGAGCGCCAAGTCTAGGACCAAAAGGCTCCTTAACAGCTTCTACTCCCAAGCCATACGACTGCCTTGCTCAAGGGCACATCGGCAGATTTTTCACCTAGTCAGCTTGTGGATTTGAACCAGCGACCTTTAGTTTACTGGCCCGATGCTCTTAACCGCTACATTAAGGCTACCTGCCAACCTGGTGTCTCTCTGTGGCTGTCTGAGTTGGATCAAATGTTGGGCCAGTTTGTGGGTTCAGAATGACCAGACTGGATGGATACACACACACTGAGGCCTGTACAGTAGACTGGAGCCTTGACAGATTGATGACAATGTGTATGGATTGGGAAGGGGACAGTTTGGGCTAGTGGCCGATTTTTAACAGCCTGGACGCCACACTCAGTGCCATGGGGGCAGTGGGAGCGCTGACACATATGGCTGCAGAAGTGCAGAGTTGCAGCATTGGACTTGACAACAACATGGGGCCTGAGCATTGGCCTGAGCTGTGCGGACACAAATGCACATAACCGACTAGAAATTGGGATACTTTTCTTGGTAGTTCTTATTTGAGATGGTAGATACAGTATGTGGTACAGATATCCATGAGCAGTGAGCTTTACTAGGGGCTGTACTATACTCAGGCCAGAGACAGCAGCCTGTGTTCAGCTATGATTACTTGGAGACGCTACCACAACTGTGGAAAGGGTTGGCTACAGCCCCTTGGCACTCCAACACATTTAGAAGGGTCAGCTAAACAAAAGTAACTTGTTTACTGCTTCATATTTTATCCCTAAAAGTTTATCTTCCAACGTTCAAACTCTCTGAATCATCTTCTGTTGATAGGTTCCCAGAACTACTGGCTCTGACTGGACAAAGGAGGGGGGAGGAGAGGGGGATGGAGAGGGGGGAAGAGAGGAGAGTGTAGATGAGGGTGGAAAGGTGGAGGAGATGAAGATAAAGAGGGGGAGGGAAGGGAGGAGGAGAGGGGGGCTGGAGAGAGGGGAGATGGAGACAGGCGGGGGGAGCAGACTGTCATCCAACTAGCTAACAGACAGAGCCAGACTGGGCCTGTGGAGACACAGGGTCAATCAAGAGCGCTGTCTTGCCTTACTCTGCAATATCTTCCCCCGAAGAGATTTGACAAGCCAATAGTCCTGTCCTGGCCTCGCCACCACACCGATAAAGTTCGACACGACACAGAGACAAGTCATTCAATCTCTGCCCTGTAGTCGTCTCCATCAACTTTATGAAGAGCAGCTATACTCTTCACACATGATGGTTTTCACTGTACTAAGCATGTTAGCCGTAGAGCACACAGTGTTGTGTGTGATGGCAGAATACCTATACATGCCTGACGCACTTGTTACTTGTTCAGAAAGTATTGCCAGATCAGATAACACCTGTGGGCCTAGTCGGGGGTGTGATGGGGAGAAAATGAATGGAATGTGTATGGGCATTATGGAGATTAGCCGTTTTTCTCACATCCCTCCTAATGCACAACTCTACATACAGGACCCTAAGTGGAAGTTGGGGCAGTAGGGGAGGGTTAGAGGGGTGAGTCTGTACATGGGAGTGCTAATCTGTATCATGTGTCCAATACAACTGAAAGCTGCTGTTTACTCTGGAGGCCTTTTCTTTCCCACCACTGATTATCATATCAAAGCAGCAGAGATGACATGCAGGGGAATGTGCTCTCTGTCAGCCTCCACAGTCCATGGCCGCCCAGGACACACCAGACCAGACTGGGGGTAATTGTAGCCATGTGGCTCCACTCGGCTCCACAGTGGGGCTGGAGGAGAGGAGATGACACCTGTGGGGGCATTTGAAGTGGAAAGGAGAGGATGCACGTGTCGCTGCATATTGGGAGTGAGGATAATGAGCTACAGGAGCCGGGTGCTGCGCTGCGTTGAGGAGATGAGGAAACCCAGTGAGCCCCCCACTCAAAGCACTTCCTCTTTTGATATTTTAATATTCATTTCAGTGTCAAACCAATGTCTCCTCTCTATTTCAAGTGTTTTTTTGGTCTGCTGGAAGGACCTCACCTTGACTTGGACTGGTGGGCAGTTCTCCCAGTGTCCACTGGAGGTAGCTGTTATACTCGTCATGGGTTTCTAACAGAGCTCTCAGCATCAGCATCGGAAGGTTCCTTCCTTGCATGCCTGAGAGTAAGCATCCAGGCTTGTTCCTCCAGATCAGTGGCCAGGGTTCCTGGGAGGCTTTTAGTGTGGCCTGACCAGCGCAGTTCATTAAAGGTGTTGGGAAAGCCTCTCACTCTGCCTGCTTCCCTTCTCATGTCCCCATATAGGAAGATCCCCAGTTATATTAGTAATGGACGTGGAAGCAGTATGTACTCTTACCTTATGTAACGCAATACTCACTTCTAAGGCTTCTGCTCCTTGGTTCCCACTGGATGGCCCAGTACCTGAGATGCAGTAATGAAGAAGGCTGAGACATTACATTTTAGAGCTGGGCTTTACCTTGCCAAAACTGTTTCTAGCTTAATGGGTAATTCAGTCATAAGTAATTGTGACCATGTGTAGGCACAAATAAAAATCCTGTTAATTTATAGTTTGTTGTAAAAAACTCTTGCCTGCTCTTCCAGACTGAATATATGTCCTTTTATGGTTTCATTTTTTACTTTTTACTTTCCTGTGGCTTTATGTTTTCGACTATATCATGCACTTTTAAAGGGGGACTTTTTCTCTATACTCTGTGCTCTGCATTCTTAGTGATGTCATTTGATAAGGCCTCTGTCTGTGGCGTGTGGGTTTCTATCATCTCTCACTTCCTGTTATCATGACACTGTGTAGATTAGTGTGGCTTTAGGGTCAATCCAGACGCCCCACAGAGATGTTAGAATGACTCTCCTTTAGAGCACTTCTTCTGTCCTCTCCCAGAGTCAATATATCATCAAGTGGTCTTTCTCTGGGAAGTGACTAAGTGATACTTTCCTCTGGCCTCTGGGAAAAAGACTGTGGATGATGGTAACCTGTGTCCCTGTTTCATCTGAATATATCATATTATATCATATTCTAGTATTCTAGTAAAATACATCTTATTAGTTGAATTTAAGATTAACTGTTGGTCTGCATTTTACCAACTGTATAAACTGTGCCACTTCAATCACATGGAGATGGTGATCAAATAGAGGATGTATAATCCAGTGTTATTCTCGCTCTCTGATGTAATCCCTGTGATTCAATTATGATGTTTATGTCTTTTCTGCAGATTATCAAACTGCTGGATGGGAAACGTTCCCAAGCAGTAGGCATCCTCATCTCAAGTCTGCACCTTGAAATGAAGGACATTCAGAAAGGTGAGAGCATAGAAATATGAACTCCTTAACTGTGTTAAAACCAAGCTGTTTGGCAGATTATTACTGGAGGATATTGTCTATATTTCTGACAACCTGTAATTTCCTCTCCGTCGAACAGTAATTTTTCCAATTAAACAGTGATAAACTTGAGTTACAATCCTATTTTCACTAGATTAGAAAATATGCTTAAATGGCATAACAAATGATGAAAATAGTTACTTTTTAGAAAGTAGAAATGTTGAAGCCCGGTGCAAATTGTTTCCTGCCTCTTGACAGACCCTAATGTGTGAATAGTTCCACTTTTATAGATGAAGTTGTGATTCATGTCGAATGTGGAAGATTTCCAAGTTTTCCAGACTAGTGCTCCCAGTTTCCCAGACTAGTACATAATGTTGTGAGTCAACAGCATTGGAATAAAATTAGCAATTTTTGTCTCGCCAGATTCAATCGTTCCTGCACTGGTCAAAATCACATCAATATTTTCCTTCTTGAACTAAAGAGGAATGGAGTATTTGGTTCTGTATCTGTATTTGACTGTACATGTTTATGTATGTGAATGGGGCGGGGGATGTCTGAGGCAACGGTTAGGCGTACATGGGTTGGGGCCGTTGGTGACAGCCAGGGTGCACTGGGTTGATACTGGGACAGGGACTGAGACTGGGAGTGGAGCGCCTGGCAGTCTGAGCATGCGGCCGACCCGGCAGATCTGTTTATTGTTGCCAGTGACGGTTTCCACCGCCTAATGGGAGCGACACCCTGCTAATGATCTGAGTGTGTATAAATCCACCTTCACAGTCAGCAGACACCGCACCGCCACATAAAAACGCTTACCCAATGCAAGCCAAACAACACATTGGGCCAATCTGCCGTTTTTGGTTTTGATATTTTTTTCTCTCTCCTTCTCCCTCTGTCGGTGTCGAGGTAAATAACCCCCAATAAAAGAGCCTGCTCTCTCTCAGCGTGAGCCTGCTTCCTACAGCCTTAATGGGAGGTGTAGGTGAAATGGACAATTTGAATCTGACAATGCAGCAAAGCGTCTTAATAAGCACTTCTAACGGCCCTGGTCCCTGGCCTCGCCTGCTTGCCTGCCCTTTGTTGGCAAATTAAAAGGACATGGGACATGTAATGTAATTAAAGCCACTAGGGAGGGGGGAGTGAGGGGAGGCAGGGCTCTGGTGGCCCAGGGCAGGGAGAGGGAAGAGCGGGGGCCAACGGAGGGCCTGAGCCTGGCTGGGGGACCTCCTGGGCCACCGCAGTTCAAGGCAGAGGGGAGGCTCCCCCACACCTCACCACACACATCACACACACCCTGAGCGATGGGTGAGAAGTGTAGGGAGAGGGAGTGAGGCGGCGACAGGGTTTCTTTGATCTCCCGGTGTGGAGAGATATCCGGGCCAGGCCTCCTTTGGCTCAGAGCACTGTGCTGCACTGCGCTGCGGCCCCCCTTTGGTGTGTGATTGACGGGTGCATGGCGGGCGCGCTGAGGCCTTGAGTAATCCACTCTAATAAGAAGTAGGAAATGGCCCTCCACCTCCAGCCTGCGTCCAGCATGCTCTCCACTTTGATCCATCCTCTAGGGCTGCCCTGCTGCCTCAGCTGGTCGTAGGGGCTTGGGGAAGCTGTGGACGTCAGTGGAAGAATGCTTGGATTCTGGGATGCAGAACTGTTTCTTCTTATTTGGAGGCACTGCTTGGAGATAGAAGGTGACATGTCTTATTGACTCCAGGGGTGTTGCTGTATACAGTACAGTCATGTGCTTTTGGCTCGACTTCACTGGTGGTTCTTTGCAAGCCATGCGACTCTGAGAGTTGACGCAGCCACAGTGGTGTAGAGAGGGGCTTGTTTCCACTCTGAGAGCAGGCGTCGCACTTTAGTCTGCAGCTGACAGCACACAGATCCATATTGTCATTGAGACCAGGAGCCATTCCTCCCAGTCTGCCCCCTCCTCTCCTCTCTCCTCCCTGACCTGCACCCAGCCATAAAGCTGTGACTCCTCTTTCTGAGACACTGAGCAGAGCTCTCCCTCTCTTACTTTCTCTCTCGCACTTTCTTTCTCACTCTCTCTTTTCCTTTTGCTGATAAGCAGGGGTGAAAGTAGATAAAATGTCTTCCTGTGTGCAATCTAGTTTTAGAGAGACAAAATAAGGACATAAACAATCTGATGCACAGGTATATTTCAAGGCCTTTTACTTCTCAACATTGTGTGAACGCACTTTGTAATTTTTATGGGCCTAATCATAGAATTACATATATAATCATTTTTAATTTAATAGGATCTCTATGGGCCTAATAGGAAAGATTTGTCGTTTTACATTTACTTTTACTCTAATTTACTTTTACTCTAATTAACGTGATAAAAGAATCTCCTCAAATTCCGTCAGTTTAAGCTAGAGATATCTGTTTTTTTGCATGGGCTGCATCTCAATCCACCGCGTCCGTCTATGTGGGCTTTCCGCATCTGTGACTGAGGTACAGCGTTGTTTGTCAGACCAGGACACATCCCGAAAATCGGTATTCTCACGAAAATGTCTGGAGCGTCCGAACAGTTTGACCTACTAACTATGGAAAGATGAAACTCTTACGAACACAATGGTGCTCTCCGTTTTGTTCTATGTCCCCCACAAGTGTCACAAGATTTGTCTGACAGTAACCCATACAAATGAATGGAAGTATGGAGGTAGTTTTGTGCCAACAAAAACAGGCATTTCATACATTTTGTGACTGTCTTTTTTTGCCATTTATGAATGTGTTATTTAATTAGTTTCTATGGGCTATTGTAGTAAAGGCCAAATTCAATAGTTTATCAAATAATGTTTATTTAATTTCTTTATATACAAAAATTATAAATCAAATAGCTTAATGATCCATGGTATGACCATCTTAAAACAATTCCATATGTTAGCTTAGTAGAACTCCACCCCAGGCTTAGACTTTTAGAGGTTTTAATGTGGCATAAACACAACCAGTCATGATGTTTGTATCTGATTGTCAAACAATTACTTCAAAAGGCTCATGTAGGCTACCTGCGCACGTTACTCAAGGATGGCGGAAAGACAGGCGGTGCACAAAGTTTTTTATTTTAATTTGGTAGGCTACTTGTTGGTCAACTTGTCTATAATTCGATACATGCCGCTTCTCTTCTGTCATTACTTGATGCTCGTCTAGAATACTAAATAAAGCGTTGATCACCAGAATAATGTCATAAATCGATAGAATGATCAATGCATCATCAACAATCTAGTTGACGTCTGTAAAGTTTTCTCTTTAATTTGTCTGTTTCTTTCATGGAATGACAACATTTAGGGACCAGAGAGGTTTCCAAATGACATCAGTTTGGTTGGTTTTAAGGAAATGAAAAGCTGGGGAAAAGATCCAACATGTTTCTGATAGTATTTAAGTTAGTCTTGGATGCATATTTTATGTTTTTTTAATGCTTTTATGTCGCTGAAATAAATTGCACATTTAGGCTACACAACAGGTCCCTAACTGTGTATTTGCATTCTCTCAAGATGCTGAAATAAATCATTCATATTTCTCCATTCCTGTTCCCGAGACAAAATGAACATTTGGCCTATCATTTTACTATGAGGAACACTTAATAATAATAATAATATGCCATTTAGCAGACGCTTTTATCCAAAGCGACTTACAGTCGTGCGTGCATACATTTTTTTTTTGCACTTAATTCTGCAGGAGTTCATATTATAATAGGCTAGGCTATATGTGAGGCCTACATTCAGTGTCTAGACTCCAGTTACTATTCCAAGTATTAGGCTACTCCAGTCTAAAATAATTCCGGCATCCATACGGTGCCATTTGATAAATGCAAAGAGACATCACATACAAAACACCAAAAGTATTATGAATGACATTCAGTGATTGTCATCATTCGGCCTAAACAAGTCTTGTAACCTCAATGTATGCATACACTGCTGTCCCCACGCATCTCGTTATCGGCCACTCATCTCTGCCTTAGCAAGATTTCAGTGTCTATTCGCTCATTTTTCATGCGACTGACATGCAGTAATGATAAATAGTGTAATAGTTTTCTTGGAATCTATGTTTTAATTGTTGTGATAGGCTCTTATTTTACCGGTACGGAGTACCCCCACTATTTATTTTGCCGGTTATCCGTACTGGACCGTTCAAGCTTACTTTCACCCCTGCTGATAAGAGTCTATTGCTCTGTCTATCTCTCTCTCTCCTCTACACTCTGAGAAAAAGGGTTCCAAATAAGTTATTTGGCTGTCCCCATAGGATAACTATTTTTTGGTTCAAGGTAGAACCCTCTGTGCAAAGGGTTTTAGATGGAACTCAAAAGGGTTCTACCTGGAACCAAAATGGTTCTACCTGGAACCATAAAGTGTTCTTCAAAGGGTTCTCCTATGGGGATAGCCGAAGAACCCATTTGGGTTCTAGATAGCACCTTTTTTTCTATGAGTGGAGCCTCCTCTCTCTCGCTCTCGCTCTCTCGCTCTCTCTCTCCCCTCCTCTCTCTCTGTGGCCCCACTTTAGAGATCATTACTGGAGACTGTGGTGGTTCTGGCTGCAGGTCCTGGGGTTAAGCAGTTACAGGCTCTCTCCTGTGACCCGGGCTGATAGACTTAGTCTTCTGCATGTCGGCCTGAGAGGAGAGCTCCCGTGTGAGGTGAGCCCTTGGCTCTGCTCTGATCTGACACAATGGCTGTCCTGGCCTGCCTGACCACACGCCCCGATACCCACCACTCCCTAATACTCTCATTCAGTCACTTTAAAGTGATAGTTCACTACAAAATCTAAGTTTGTCAGACATTTCAGACCTCAAAAGATGTTTAATGTTGAAATGAGTTGACAAAATAATAGACATGGGTATTATTTCAGTAAATTATAGTTTAGATTAGCCTCCATGATGTTTATGATAATATCTGAACGATGCTAGTGTTTAGCTGCTATCCATTCTTTTTGTACATAGCATGCCTATATGAATTTAATCTCCCTCACAGGAAAACAGGCCTAGGCTCCAAACCCAGGCAGCAGGTAATTTAAACAGCATGCTTACCCAACATATTCCATCTTTATAATACATTAATTTACTTTTCCAGCTGTTTTGAGTGTGGATAACTCTGTGGTGGACTTGGAGACCATCGAGGCTTTATATGAAAATGTGAGTATTCAGAAGTGTGCTATAAAGTCATCCGATAGCATGAGAGAAATGTGAGAATCTAAACTCCTTTTTAAGTGTTTTTCTCACTCAGTATGCTTTTGTTAACACTACACAGTGGTGGAAAAAGGACCCAATTGCCATACTTGAGCAAAAGTAAAGATACCTAAATAGAAAATGACTCAAGTAAATCATTTCAAATTTCTAATATTAGGCAAACCAGACGGCACGACTTTCTTGTTTTCTTAATTTCCGGATAGCCAGGGGCATACTCCAACACTCAGACATAATTTACAAACGAGAGCATGTGTATTTAGTGAGTCCGCCAAATCAGAGGCAGTAGGGATGAGCAGCGATGTTTTCTTGATAAATGCATGAATTTGACCATTTTCCTGTCCTGCTAAGCAAAATGTAATGAGTACTTTGGGTGTCAGGGAAAATGTATGGAGTAAAAAGTACATTATTTTCTTTAGGAATATAGTGGAGTAAAAATAGTAACAAATAGAAATTGAAAAGTACAGATACCCCAAAAAACTACTTAAGGAGTACTTTCAAGTATTTTTACGTAAGTACTTTACACCACTGACACTACATCAGGGCTCCATAACATCTGCTAGTCTACAGCTAATTTCTCAAGGATGTCACATTCAACATTTATCTATTGCTATTCTACCTCTTGTTTTGTAATTACTATGTCTATATCGTTCATTGCTACAGCTTTATTGTTGTCTACTAACCTGTTTTGTTTGTGTGTGATCACAGAGGGCCACGAGTGACGAGCTGGAGAAGATTAAAAAACACTATGAGACGTCCAAGGAGGACGAGGTGAAGCTACTGGACAAGCCTGAACAGTAAGAGTGTTTCTCCAGCACCCAAGGGTTCAGGGAGAGGGCAGTAGGACACTGGACCCTGACTTCTACTGGAGTCAGAGAACTAGAAGCTCATACACACAGAAAACCATCACCTCCATTGAATTCAAGATGTCAATTTCAAAGGGTACTTTAGAAACACATCATGTGGTTTTTAATGTGTACAGACGGAGACAAACAGTTTGATTTTGAAACACTTTGGTCTTTGACAGCCTGAGGCTCACTCATCACGTTGATGGTTCTTTACAGCCAAACCAGTATATGGAGATATTTTATATAAACATCACTTAGAAAAGGTGGCATCACTTTTGTGTTTATATATCATTTCAAGAAGTAAAAAACCAAGCTCCTTAGTCTTCCTCAGACAGTAAATATTTGTTCCTGGTCTGTTTTGCAACCTTCATGTCTTCCATACTTAGGGAATGGGCTTGTGTGTGTGCATGTGTGAATGTGTGCGTGTGTGTGGGTGGACATACACGTGCGTGTGTGTGTGTCTCAGAGTGAATGGCAGAGATGGACGGCTGCTGGCTCTCAGAGAGGAGTCCCTCCCATGGGGGTTAAACGTAGCTGGCCTGTTAATGACTTGTCACTGTGGGGCTGAGGGCCATGTTCATACCCACTCAGTGTCTGCCTCCATCAGCAGCCTAATGACACAGGATATTACCGCTCTCCTCGGATATGTCCCTGTTTACATGAGTCGGCCTGACGCTACCTTTGATCAATCAGTGCTCCAGCCCTCCTTTAGTTGACCCTGGACCTATCAAACTATTAGAGCAGGACAACTCATGACTATCAGCTGCTAGTTAAAAGCCATACTGACTCAGCCATGTGTGTGTGGAAGCAGCGCAGCCAAGGATTAAAAATAGTTCTTCCTGTTGGACATTTTGTTTAATTTTGTCATAACACATTATTTCCCCTTGTGCAGGTTCTTGTATGAACTCTCCCAGATTCCAGACTTCTCTGGCCGGTCCCACTGCATCATATTCCAGTCTGTCTTCCTCGACTGCATATCTTCCATCCACCGCAAAGTAGAAATAGTCTCCACCGTGAGCAAAGTAAGACATGACATGACTACAATCTTATTGATTTGTCAGTGTATGAGCTTTTATCATGCTGACCCTGTGTGTGTGTCTGTCTGTCTGTCTGTCTGTCTGTCTGTCTGTCTGTCTGTCTGTCTGTCTGTCTGTCTGTCTGTCTGTCTGTCTGTCAGGATCTGCTGGACTGTAGAAGTGTGAAGGATGTGATGGGGCTGGTCCTAGCCTTTGGGAACTACATGAATGGAGGCAACAGGACGCGGGGTCAGGCTGATGGCTTTGGCCTGGAGATCCTGCCCAAACTGAAGGATGTCAAGAGCAGGGTACATTCACCACACACACAGCCATATTACGTTATATTAATCTACAGTATATTACCGAGAAGTTGTACTGGCTTCTTCTGTCTGACCCTTTGTATCTTTTAGGACAATCGTATCAGTCTGGTCGATTACGTAGTTGCATACTATCTGCGCAATTTTGACAAGGTACAGTATTTCAGATTAAATTAACACATTTCCTACGATGGACTAAAAGCTCAATTCTTCTGTTGTTTCCTGATGTTTTGTCATTGATGGATTGTCTGTTGGTTTGCAGCACGCAGGAACAGACAAGAGTATATTCCCACTGCCTGAGCCACAGGATTTATTCTTGGCCGCTCAGGTCAAGTTGGAAGACCTCACAAATGACATGAGGAAGCTGAGGAGAGACCTGACTGGTGAGACACAGTTTATTTCACTCTTTTCTAAGCAACTCACATAACATCAGGCATACATAGAGGCGTACTGCTCTATATGTAGTATGATACACATTATACATTCTGTCTTATCCTGTAAGAACACTTTCCTCCGTCATCCGTCAGAGGCAGTGGCGGTCAGTGCCGTTTAAGATTAGGGAGGATTATTTATTTTTTCATGAGCATGGCCTTATTTCTATTACAGCATATTGGATGACTTTCATTCACATTCCATTCACCCAGTTCAATGTAACAGCGATAGGTTTAGGTTACTACATGATACTCACATTTTCCCTATACCCATCATGAGGTTGCTACAACCTAGTCTATGAATGAAAGTTTACAACGTAGGTGCACACAGTTCGAGAGACAAATTTGAGGTGACAGACAGTGACACATGGACAGACAGTGACATTCAATACCGCCTTGCACACTCTTCCCTGCATCTAACTGATGTAGGGTGTAATCATTAGACCAACAGTTGCAAACAAGAGTTTCTATTGGACAAATTCAGGTATGTTTATCCCCGTTTTGTTCCGTTTGCTTCCGTTTAATAATTTTTTTTCAACAGAATCGGCAGAATGAAAACACCCCTGTGGCAATAAATTAGTAATATCAAAAGCTTACCTTGACTTGAGTTCCAGTGTAGTTTTGGAAAGTCATAGCCAGCTAGCTAACATAGCATCCCTCTGTTTGAGCAGGGTGTTTCAGTAGGCTAAACTAGCTAGCTGCATTTGTTAGCTAAGTAAGTGAAACTGAAAGTGGAAAGAAATGCCGAAATCTCTCTATCTCTCTATTTCTATTTTGCTTCTTCTTCATTTTGGAAGAAATTAATTTGTTCAAAACTGTTCAACTATTGTCTTTCTCTCTCTTTGAGTCAACTACTCACCACATGTTATACACTGCAGTGCTAGCTAGCTGTAGCTTATGCTTTCAGTACTAGATTCATTATCTGATCCTTTGATTGGGTGGACAACATGTCAGTTCATGCTACAAGAGCTCTGATAGGCTGGAGGACGTCCTCTGGAGGTTGTCATAATTACTGTGTAAGTATATGGAAGGGGGTGAGAACCATGAGCCTCCTAGGTTTTGTATTGAAGTCAATGTACCCAGAGGAAGACGGAAGCTAGCTGTCCTCCGGCTACACCATGGTGCTACCCTACAGAGTGCTGTTGAAAAATAGTGTGTTTTAATCAATTATTTGGTGACATGATTATATTTAGTATAGTTTTATCTAATAAGGATAACTTTTTAATGTTTTAGAATTTTTAGTTTTATGAAATTCACTGAGGAGGATGGTCCTCCCCTTCCTCCTCTGAGGAGCCTCCACTGGTCAGAGGTGTTTCCGGATAGATTCAGGATCTCAGACGCTCTGAAGCACATTTTTCTTGTTCCCAGGCATCGTGTCATGCCTTAACAGGCATGTCATCACTCCCCCATTTCCCCCTGCCCTAATCATGCTCTACTTACAGTATCCTATGTCAGAAGTGTCAGTGTCTTCATTTTAGCCAAAGCAAGTCTATCTGTCTGAAACATTTACAGATGATATGAAAGCTGGATGGAAATGCAATAAAGGAGCAACACTCACAGGAGAAACGTTACCATATGGCTGGTATCAGGAGCTCGGTGCTTACTGGCATGGTCCGCCAGTTAGCCAGCCAGTCAGTCAGTCAGCCAGCCAGCCAGCCAGTCAGTTAGCCAGTGAGTCAGTCAGCCAGCCAGTCAGTCATCCAGTTAGCCAGTGTGTCAGTCAGCCAGTTTGCCAGTCAGCCAGTCAGCTAGCCAGCCAGCTAGCCAGCCAGTGAGTTAGCCAGTGAGACTGTCACCCAGCCAGCCAGTCAGTTAGCCAGTGAGTCAGTCAGCTAGCTAGTCAGTTGGTCAGTGAGTCAGTCAGCCAGCCAGCCAGCCAGCCAGCCAGCCAGTCAATTAGTTAGTCAGTGAGTCAGTCAGCCAGCACGTCAGTTAGTCAGTTAGTCAGTAAGTGAGTCAGTCAGCCAGCACGTCAGTTAGTCAGTAAGTCAGACAGTGGTCCGCTGGGCCGTCCAAGGGTTATAGGCGTTGCCCCCCAGCCAGTCAGTTAGTCAGTGAGTCAGTCATCTAGCCAGTCAGTGGTCCGCTGGGCCGTCCGGGGGTTAAAGGTGTTACCCCCAAGCCAGTCAGTTAGTCAGTCAGCTAGCCAGTCAGTGGTCCGCTGGGCCATCCGGGGGTTAAAGGTTTTGCCCCCCAGCACCCTGGTGTCTGTGATTATTTCAATCAACCAATAATACAGCATATGAAAGCAATTAGATATGCTCTCCACTCTCCCCTCCTAGTGCAGATTGCTGTTAAACCCTGATCCTCTCTGACCTGGGGGAAAATACAAAGAGTCTACAAAAGAGCCCCAGACCCACCTCAAGCTGTCAGTCATTTATTAGGAAAATTGAACACTTAAAGACAATAAATGTAACATAAGGACCCACATATTTGATCTCGACTGCAGGAAAAATAAATAGCAGTCTCGCCCGGAGTCCTCTAGGTATTGGCAGGGAGCGGTGAGTGTTCTCAGTGTTTGGTGAGGTCCACCTATGACACCCATTTCTATCCTCCCCGCCAGCCGCCAGGAATAAATATTTATTTATTTAAAGCACCCTAAAGAAACCAACTGATCTTAATTATATCAGATCACTTCCATTTACATCTGAATTATGTCTAACTCGGTGTGGCTGGTGCTAACACAGGATCTTAGCTACAAGGACTCTCAACTGAAAGGAGGCTAACAATATGAAAGCAGCTCTCCTTATCCATGCAGGAGCCTCATGAGTCCTGTTTTGCCCCACTTTTTGATTCTTTGCTATGGTACAGTGGTGTTCAGGCTATAGATTTATTCCTCCATATCCCTCTTCCCCAGAGTGAGGCTCCAGTAAGTAGCCAGGCAGATGTATGTGTGTGTCTGGTCTGAGACGATGCACAGGAGTAGGTCAGACTCCCTGGCCTGTCGGCTGCCCTCTCTCCACTCTGCCGTGCAGAAACATGATCCTCATTTGATCTGCCTTCCTGTTTGGGCAGGAGGTGATGACCTCTCTCTGGGTCTCTCTCTGGGGATGGGGGTGGGTAAGATCCATCCCTTCTCTCCTGCCCAAGGAGCCTGGCAACTATAGAGTAAGACCTGGATATTCCACTGTGTTTTCCCTAGTGTCTTCTGAGGCTTTCAGTTCTATGTGTCAGGAGGGGTGTCTGTCCCTTTGGGGGCTACGGTACATGTAGATGTTCCTGGAGAGTATCCTTGGTTCACCCAGTCCCAGGGCTCATGTGGGCACAGAGAGGACCTTTCATCCAATCAGGGCCAGCGGAGGCCACGGCCACGTAAAGCTCTCTTTAACTGCTGGGTAATTGGGCGGACAGCGAGACAGGGACGCTACTGAATGAAATAGTGTCAAATAAAAAAGAACAGTCAGAGCTCATTTGCTGCCCAGGGGAGTTTAGTGTTTCACAGAAGGTCTGTGCAGGGTTCGGCATTCATCACCATGGCAAATCAGACAGTGTCTTTATTATAAATGCCCCTTAATGTCAGGTCGAGGCAAGGCCTTTACCCTGAAGCCAGTTTTACGACAGAGGCTCCAGTTTGGAATTCCATGTGTGGAGTCGTTAGGGTAGAGTACCACCACCTCTCCTCCACACATAACTGTTAAATATAGGCTGCTACTCATTTTGCTCAACTTCAGGCACAAGATGCAGGGAACATGCAGTGTAGATAATATAGTCTTTGTAAACTCAAGACCCTCACATAGGAATTTTAAACCATGTTCAATTATTTATATTATTTTGTCATGGTAGCAGGCCATATATTAAATGATGACACTGCCTTTTCAACAGATGTGTCCATACATTTCCTCAACCTAAGATGAGTGCCTTGTTTTCCTCTTAGATATGGAGCCAATTGAAACAAAATCTATCATCTATATCATTTATTTTATGATTTCCTCAAACAAAGATCTCCCAAGCATTCCCTTACAGCAGAACAGAGCCTAGTGGTGCACTCTAGCTGAAACCCTGAACATTGGAGTACCATGTCTTACAGCAATTCATCGTTTCCAGAGCTGTGCGTACAGAGGATGTAGGCACTGTGTTCTCAGACAGGCTCTATGTAGGACGTGGGCCAGGGTTAAATGCTGGATAGGTCCCGGCTGATAGAGATAGATTTATCTAAGAGGGAGGTGTGGGTGTCTTACCGTTACCTCCTGGCTGGCCCAATGTAGCCTGGGTTATAGCAGGGCTTTAGCCTGGAGGGGAGGGAGGGGGAAGCTGGGAGCCTGACAGTGCACTGGGGTGGGTTGTATATAATTGTGGATTAGTGAGAGAATTCCTTGTGCTTTAGAGCTGATGGAAAATGATCCAGTGCCTGGCGTAAATAACACTGATCTGCCAGGCCAGACCACGGACAAGACTAACCTCTCTCTCTCTCTCTCTCTCTCTCTCTCTCTCTGATGAGAAAAGAGTTTTGAAAACATTCATGCTTGAAGGGCGAAAACATACGTAGTGTCAGTATATCTGTGTGAGTTTTTTATTGTCAGTGATGGTTAGAAGTAAAGGAGTGCATAACACTATCGGCATATCTATTTATTATGGCCATCGAAATGTTAGCTATTAAAATCAGATCCAACAATAATATCAAGGGATTAGAAATCCGGGACTTAAAAACAAAGGTGTCATTGTACGCTGATGATTCATGTTTTCTTTTATATCCACAACTTGAATCCCTCCACAGCCTCATAGAGGATCTAGATACATTTTCTAACCTCTCTGGATTACAACCAAATTATGATAAATGTACTATATTACGTATTGGATCACTAAAACATTTTAAATGTACATTACCATGTAGTTTACCAATAAAATGATCTGATGGTGATGTGGATATACTCGGAATACATATCCCAAATGAAATAAATGATCTCACTCCAATAAATGTAATAGAAAGTTAGCAAAAATAGATAAGATCTTGCTACCATGGAAAGGTAAATACCTGTCAATTTGTAGAAAAATCACCCTGATTAACTCTTTAGTATTATCCCAGTTTACCTATTTGCTTATGGTCTTGCCTACGCCTAGCGAACAGTTTTTGAAATTATATGAGAAAAAAATATTCAATTGTATTTGGAACTTCAAGCCAGACAAAATTAAACTGGCCTATTTATATAATGAATATGAATTCGGAGGACAGAAATTATTAAATATTAAAGCATTAGACCTATCACTAAAAGCTTCAGTCATACAAAAGTTATACTTAAATCCGAACTGGTTCTCTAGCAAATTAGTAAGATTGTCTCACCCAATGTTCAAGAATGGCCTTTTTCCCTTTATTCAGATTACAACCTCTCACTTTCAGTTATTTGAAAAGGAAATAATCTCCCAAATATCACTATTTCTAAAACAAGCCATAGAAAGTTGGTTGCAATTTCAATTTAATCCTCCAGAAACGACAGAACAAATAATGCAACAAATATTGTGGTTAAACTCAAATATACTAATTGATTAAAAAAACATTATTTGTTGAATAAAATAAAATAAAAAGGTATAATCTTTGTAAATGATATCATAGGTAGGACTGGTGGAGTTATGTCACACATGCAGCTAACAAAAACATATAGAGATATCTGCTCAACCCAAAATTACAACCAAATAATTGGAAGGGGGAAAAAGTAAGGAACTTATCTGTCGGCCCTGCATTAAAGAACATAATTGGTTAAAGAAAATTGTGATAAATAAAAAAGTATACCAGTTTCATTTAAGGACCAAAGGATTGACAGCTGTCCCATATAGATTGCAAAATAGTTGGGAATACATTTTTGATGTACCGATTCCATGGCATAGTGTTTATGAACTGATACGCAAAACGACACCAGATTCAAAACTTAGAATTTTTCAATTTAAATTATTATACAAAATTCTTGCTACCAATATAATGTTATTTATATAGGGGATACAATCTTCCCAGCTCTGCAGATTTTGCTGCGAAGAGACAGAATCATTAGATCATTTGTTTTGGTACTGTCCATTAGTAGCCTGTTTTTGGATACAGGTCCAGGAATGGCTAAAGGATTGCAATATTTACCTGGAGCTAACCCTGCAGATAGCACTACTGGGTGATCTGAAAAGTCATAGTCAATCGATCAATAATATAATAGTACTTTTAGCAAAAATGTTTATTTTCAATTTACAATCTGTAGAAACAATGAGAATAGAAGAGTTCAGAACTTTTTTTAAACATCACAGTACAGTTGAAAAATATATGGCAAATAGAAATCCAATATGGATGGTGTTAAGAGATAGATGGGTGGTGTTGAATGGAGTTGAAGGATGGGATTAATAACAACTAACAACAACTAATAACAACAAGATAACTAATGTAAAGCATACTGTGTCCATAATAAGTATATAGGTTATAGGTTGAGAGCTTTTGTGAAAGAGCACAGTTAGAAAGATATGGCATATAGACGCAAACCGGATGGACATCATGAAAATGATCGGAGAGGTTGAGGGTAGAGGAAGTTCAGGAGTAAAAACAAACAAAATATAATTATTGTAAAATTGACTGTGTCCATAAAATGTATATAATATGTATTAGCTGGAAGTAGAGGCCTAAGCATTGTTGTTCACTAGTTTACTCCAATTAGGGAAGGGGGCGTGGGGTTGGAAAGTAATAAAGGGAAATGTAATTTTTTTAAAGGATATGTATATATATATATGTATGTATATGTATTTATATGTATGTATGTGTATGTGTATGTATGTATATGTATATATATGTATATATATATTTGCAAGAAAATAAAAAACATATGGGGGATTGGAAGTTATGCAAACAATTACATTGATGGAAGTTACAATCTATCTGCAATATTAAAGCTGATCTACCCCCTAAAAAAAAAAAAGACAAAAAAAAAGGAGTGCATAACAGAATCAACATGAATCTTTAATGAGTTATAGCAGTATAACTTTGAGAACAGAAACCTACTCTATATGGCAGTCAAATATGTAGCGCTCAATGATTATCCAAGTGTACAATGTTTTGTTTTCCAAACATCTCAGGGTCTACAGAATAATGTGCCATTGTCTTGATGGCCTAACGTTTCCCTGTAGCTTTGTGGGGAATTCATGGTTCATTCATTACATCAAAGTGAGCTTGACTAACTGCGTTTGCCATGTCTCGGAGCAGAAGTCAGACTCTGTCTTTTCATGTTAGCCCACTCCCCATGTTACAGTACAGTAACATACCTTATATGATGCAATCCTCTGGCATACCAGCTAGCCCAGTGTCCCTACAGACAGCATGTAGTGGGCGAGCTTCCTGTATACATGTATCCATGCCTTACTACAGTATTAACCACATACTGTTTGGGCAACCCTTGAGAATATGGGCATCAATGTAGAGGTTTTTAAATAGATTCCTCTACATGTATTTGGATACAGAATTTGTGTGGACATTTCATGTGTTGCTTACAGTTTATGATGAGTAACATCTAGAAATCAGTCTTCTTCAGTGAAATAACACTACTTCTATCTTGATTTACACAAAGATATCAGTCACCTTCCACAATAATGCTGAATCCACTGTCTGTATGAAGGCTGGCCCTGCCTGAATGTGGTGGTGGGAGGGGAGACAGGTCCCTTGTGACCTGGTGACTGAACAGGAAGCCAGACAGGACAAACAGCACTGACAGTAGCAGTATGACCTGCTTCTGTCTAACCGCCTTAACACAGGGTGTCAAATACAACTGGTGTAACTTGCTTGAAATGCTTGATTACGAGCCCTTCCCAACGATGCAGAGTTGGTGCAGCTGTGGAACTTATTCAGTATCCGAGGGCCCAAGCCAAATCTTTTCAGCCTCCTGAGCAGGAAGAGGCGCTGTCGTGCCCTCTTGATGACTGTGTGGGTGTGTGTGGAGTGGACCAAGCTCCTGGTGTGCCTTAGCAGTTAACTGGTTAATACTGATCATTGATAGGAAAGCAATCCCCTTGTGGTGGTCATTTGCAACAGAGTTTTTTCCTCTGTGAAGGAAGAGCCTCAACTGCAGTCTCTGTCTCCCTTCCTCCCTCTCTCTCTCTACCCCAGGGAAACTGACACAGCTGTTTGGGCACAGAGGACCCAGATTAACACTCACTAGCCAATTAGAGAACAGCATGGACATATTTACAGTAATGGGATTAGGTGGCTGTGAGGGGAGCAGGCCCCTGGGAGCATAGCGAACCTTCAGTTGGCCTGGTTCACTGTAGTAATACTGTTTCACTGTAGTAATACTTTTACACTGTAGTAATACTTTTACACTGTAGCAATAGTTTTACACTGTAGTAATACTTTTACACTGTAGCAATACTTTTACACTGTAGTAATAATTTTACACTGTAGCAAAACTTTGACACTGTAACAATACTTTTAGACTGTAGTAATACTTTTACACTGTAGTAGTACTTTTATACTGTAGCCTGCATATCCCCAGGAGATAGCTGCTTTAGAAAGGGCTTCCTTGATCCTACTTCTCCTCCTCTGCCTCCCCCTCCCCCTACCCCTACCCCTACCCCTCCTCCATGCCTAAGTATTGTCACTGTAAGACAATGTCCTAAACCAGAGCCCACTAGGTTTTTATTTCATCCAGCTGCTGATGTTTTGGGGGTTTCCTTCTTGTGGTCTACACTGTCTGGACCACATTTAGAGGAGATCCGCCTCTTAATTGTAGTCTTGCTGTTTTGAACACCCTTTAATGTGCCTGTTTGAGACGGGGGGATTTTAAGGAGCGAGGGATCAAATACTTTTTTAAAGTAGGATATTTTCAGTCATGTTTGAGCTGGCTCACCTGATCAGGTTTGTTTCATGGTTGTCTCTCAGCTGTGGATGATGTTGTTGGAACAGTGTCTTTTCTTACTCAAGTAGTGTGCACCTTTCAAGAGCAACTATTCCTGAGACCCTGGAAAAGGATAGTGGGTAACTGGGATAATTCACCTGTTCTTAATACATCCCTCTGGATTATTCTGGAAACCAGTGAACCAGTCTCACACTCTAACCAGCCAAGTGTTCCTGTTGTGTTGTTAAGACATTTAGCTATGCAGTAATAACCAACACAAGGTATTTACTGCACTCATTAATGACTTGCAGGTTTGTGTAAAGTTGCAAAAGTTATTCTGGCAGGCGGCTCTGTATATAGCATCCCACGCTGATTTTTAGGAGGAAATGAAATAGTTTGGCTCATGTTTGCCCAAGTCATCGTTGTTTCCTTTGAGCCTGTGTGAGCTAGGTGGTTTGGCAGGGCAACAAAGACCCATCCACAACAAACAAGGCTTCCACATTCAGCCGTCACCCACATGTACAGTTCCACTGGGGAGAGCCAGAACAGGACAGGCCCATCTACTGCCACCATGTCCTATCTAGCTAGTGGGCCAAACACTCAAGGTGTTGGTTGGATGACTGTCATAGCCCAGTATCTGTGGCTTCAACATGTTTTATCTCGTCAAATTGTTTGAGAGTAACAGATTGAACACCCTACTCCCATTCAAAGAAAAAAGTATTTGGACAATGTAAGTAGAACTGTATTTCCATCAGCTGTCTATTGAATGTGTTTATGAAGATTTATAATCAATTTCTCATTTTGAATGCAGACCAAGCTCATTTAAGTGATTGCAAGGTCTTTTCAATAGCCATCTGTTTGGGATGTTTTGGAGGAGATTCACACACATTTTCCCTCAAATGTTTTCCTTCGGCAGGCATTAGTTAACTCACTTATGAAAGTGCTGGAAATGTGCTACATTTGCTGTTTGGGCACGCTTGTTATTGTTTTACAGCTTAGCCCAATAATAAATGCCAAATTCACACAGTACACCGCAGTATACAGTCTACTCTCGCTCACACTTTCTCTCCCCCACCCACCCCAGGCCAGAGCTTTTTTAATCCATTCCTGCTGAGAAATTTCCGATATTTAACATTTCCCGCTCTCTCGCTCTCCCCCAGCGTGTGAAAAGGCTGTTCAGAAGGTGTGTGCTAACTCCTCAGAGAAGAACCTTCAGCCCTTCAAGGAGAAAATGGAGGCCTTCGTCTCGACCGGTGAGTAAAACAAACCAGAACCAGAGAGAGGGGAGGAGAGGAGACATGACTAGGACATTTACTTGCTCTATAACCTGTTAGTTCATATGCCTTGCCACCGTGATATATAGGCCTAAGGCCGAGACAATAAGAAGACACAGTGGCAGAATAAATTCAACCACACCTTTGTTTCATCACAAAACCGGAGAGCAACCTCTGTCCGGTGAAGTCCACAAAGCATATTGCATATAGAAGTTACATTACCTACAGCATGGTCAAGCAAGTTAATGTTTCCGACATTTTCGGACTACTAAACAACTATTGATTTAGAACCACGGAGAGTTACCGAAAGGCGCAAAGAAAACAGAAGCTGCCTCCACTATTCCAGCACCATTTCAACTTCAGCATCATTAAATCACCTATGCCTAGTCTAGTACAGTGACAACTAGAAGATAGCAAAAACAATTTAGTCCAGTCAACGTAAGCTAAATATGATGTGGCTGTCCATGGTTCTGATTTCTGTGTGTGTGTGTGTGTGTGTGTGTGTGTGTGTGTGTGTGTGTGTGTGTGTGTGTGTGTGTGTGTGTGTGTGTGTGTGTGTGTGTGTGTGTGTGTGTGTGTGTGTGTGTGTGTGTGCGCGCCTGCATGCGTGTGTGCGTTTGTACAAGTAGAAAAAATATGTTGACTCACCCTATCTGTAGAGAAACGCCAATGCCATCCACCTCTCTTTCATGTTGACGAAATGGTCTATGACTCTGTCATACAGTACATGCTTTTATTTTTTGTTGTCCTAGACTACTTGGCTAAAATGCTTGCTCGCTAGCCTAACTTCCTTTCTTGGGCAACGATGAGCCAGCTAGTTAACATTAGACTACTACCGGGCTCCTGAGTGGCGCAGTGGTCTAAGGCACTGCATCGTAGTGCTAACTGTGCCACTAGAGATCCTGGTTCGAATCCAGGCTCTGTTGCAGCCGGCCGCGACCGGGAGACTCATGGGCGGCGCACAATTGGCCCAGCTTTGTCCAGGGTAGGGGAGGGAATGGCCGGCAGGGATGTAGCTCAGTTGATAGAGCATGGCGTTTGCAACGCCAGGGTTGTGGGTTCAATTCCCACGGGGGGCCAGTATAAAAAAATATGTATTCACTAACTGTAAGTCGCTCTGGATAAGAGTGTCTGCTAAATGACTAAAAATGTAAATCTAGCTACATATTGAGCTTCCATCCTCTCAGCCCAGGGGCACAATGTATGAATTTATGTTTGGATCAGAATCGTTGTTAAATCATTGGCCAGTATGGAGAATTAAGTAAAACCACAAGTCCAAATCCCTATCTCCATCCATGGCTAATTAGGGAAAGGGACAATTTTAGCGAGCTAGCTAGCCACCAGAGGACAACAACACAATGAGATGCAATAATTCAAGTTTTTTCTGTCAATTACATTTTGCTTTTGATGTAATGTGATTGGTGTGAAGCCAAATCCAAACTGGCTTCCCTTGACATTTTTCTTTGGTACGCCAGGACCGTTCACAGTTGAGCGCACTCAGTTTACCGCAACGCTCATTTGCTATTATTTTCTACTTTTTTTAATCAACGGAGGCCAAATGCTCACTGGCTTCCCTTGCATTCAATGTTATGGGCGGCAACAATGTCATACTCTTTTTGACCAGACAGCATCAGAGATATGGGCTACACATACACAGACAGAGGGGTGCTGTTTCTCTCTCGGATGCTTTCTCATACATTCAGCCTCTTGCGAATTGAAAGAAAATTATGAGAGATGAAAGATACATTATTTGACATTGTTTTTTTAATTAGTAAATTTTTTGGGGAAGCCTGGCTTCCCTTGGCATCCATGAATACACGGCACTGGACTTGGGTTCGAAAGGGAGAATATATTACTGGAAACTTTCAAAGTTTACCACTAAATTACCAGAATATTGGTACCTTTCAAGGATTTTATGTAATCTATCATATACAGTGTATACAGTAGTTTGGACACACCTACTCATTCCAGGGTTTTTCTTTATTTTTACTATTGTCTACATTGTAGAATAATAGTGAAGACATAAAAACTATGAAATAACACATATGGAATCATGTAGTACTATGTCAATATGTATTAGTTGTCAATGTTATATGCGTAAAACTGGTGGCAGTTGTGAAGAAAAGTCAATTGAGTTTTAGAGTTAATTGAAAATAATGCCATTGTTGATTAGATGCATTTTCCATTAATTAGGCTATTTTCTCTTCAACCATATGGTCCATCTACTAGAAACTCATGGACAATATGGACACAGATATGAAAAATTATTACTATATATGAATAAAAAATTTAAAAAGTTATTCAAGTATAAATGACGATAGATTGCCATATATTTTCTGTTAATTACCTAAATTACTGAAGATTCTGGTAACTTTGGTAAATTACTGGTAGCTTTGCAACCCTAGACATGACCCCATGTGTTGACTGATAGGGGGTGCTATGGGTTGTTTTATGTGTTGTTTTAGTAGATACTGCTCCAGCAGACTCATTGCATGTCACCTAACCCAGGCAGCCAGGCTGGGCAGGGCAGGGCAGCGCAGGCTGTTTGATCCCCAGTGAGAGCTAATAAAGCCAGGGGCCAGAGTGGCTGCACTGGGTCCGGCCTGATTGGGTGTTTAGATGTGTTTACACTCCCCTTGTTCTCCACAGGCCACTTATTCTCTACTGATTGTAATGACAGCTCTTGGAAATGAGGATCCTCGATTGTTTGATATCACTCACTGCACCTGAGGCAAGCAGAGGCCTGTGTCAGAGCCCATCCACTGGACTGAGTGATGAGATTACCTTCAATCATGCTCTGTGACACACTCCCTAGTTCTACCAGTAGATAGTTATGATGTATATTCACCCCCTCTGTCATATCTCTGTGCTAGCCTGTCATCTCTCTGAATGGAGAATGAATCCACTGTTCTCCAAATCTGTCTTCAGAGTTGAAATATTCTCCACATAGATTATTTACTGCTGAGGAGAATGTCATGTAAAGAAACCAAACTCAGAGATAAACTAGAGAGGTCCAGTTTTCCTTTCTCAAAAACACAGAGAGGAACCATTAAAGCCCAAAGCTGTAATTTAGCTCTTCAATATATTTTTTTGCCCTGTCAGGCCGTTAGTTGGGTGCTGGTGGAGCCCAGGCCAAGCGTTAGTTAGAGAGGGGGCTGCCTGTCAGACAGCACAGGGACAGGAGTCTAAAGCTTAACCCTGTAGAGAGGATCACATTGCCCTTAACATGCTGCCTGTACTCATGGCTGCTATAAAGCTGGCAGGACATCCCTGGCTGAGGGCTCGTAAAGGCTGGCTGGACTCAGTGGGACAGCTTGGGGACCACCGTGGCAGCCAGAGACACACTGCACCGAGACAGAGACGCTCTGATCCCTTCCACCTCTCCCCCCTCCACTAGACATCTTCATCCAAGACCCTCCCCTCCCCACAGCCCCCTCCAGTGCCTTGCAAAGTCAGCCAGTCAGCCAGTAGAGCTGCTTCCATTGAAAACATAAAGCTTATCCACTTCCATCATGCAGACATGGGCTCCTGTAAGGTTTCTGTGGTATGCAACATGAGGAAACACAGAGGTCATAGTGTTCCTAGAGAGAAAGTGGACATCCATCTCGGAGCGTTCCTCCAACGACCCAAAGGACCAACATGTTCAACTGTGATTACTATTGATCATAGGGATGTGAAAGGCAGAGGGAAGGAGTTCACAGAAACGCGGTGTGATCCCTGATTTACTGGAAATGACTGTGTAAATATTCCCAGGAGTTATTGTTCACATAGCAGAGACACATCTGCTCCTAACATGCATTACAATGTGGCTTGCAGACAGAGGCTCGTGTCGCTAAAGCACCATAATACATACAGAAGCTCTTCCCCATTTGAATGACTGCCAACTAGGACTCCCATACAGTACGTAGGTGTGCTTCTGCCAATGTTCTCACAACATTGGACACAGTTCACTGGTTTTAAACGATCAAGCTCTCATCAGTCTCGCAGTGGGTAAACATCATAAGTGCAACCAAACAGAATCCAACTCAAAGCAACTTGGCAAGCCAACAACCACCTGCATGCAATCTCACCACCTTCACCAATTTTACATAGCTGCCACAGGCGAGGTGAGGGCCTTCACACATTTCACCATGCCACAAAGAGCAACAAAGAGCGGGCTATTAACAAAACACACTGCCGCAGGTCTATAGACCTCTATAGGTCTGACAGAGCATCAGAGTTGGCTTAAAGTGGAGCCACCTCTCTCTCTGGGGCCAACATCCTCAACAACCTCTTTTATCTTTACAAAGTACTAGTGACAGACAAAAGCGTCAGCGTCACGCAAGGCGATCTACATTTTACTACATTAAAGGGCAAATTGCACACATTACTTGCGGCGGACAGAGAATATTGTGAAACAATAGGCTCTTTCTATAAATTATGCAAATTAGGTATCTCACAGAGAGATTGCATCCATATGTTGTTGGAGGTACAGAGTGAGAACTGGAGGCAGGGCAGTGTTTTCAGCATATAAATTATTAATGTACTGTATGTGTTGCAAACAAAGTCTGCCTTGATATGTTTGTCTCCTAGTTACACATTGCAAACGGAAATGTATTCTAGAATGTTTACTCTTTTTAACATTCCAGTGGTCAAACCTCTATCTGTATTCTTGGTCAATATCACATAATATTTGAAAGGTCTTTAAACCATGATGGTTGCCACTGGCTACAAAATGTTATTGGTTAACAAAACCACATCTTGAACATAAACTTTCCAGTGGGAAACGTATAAACCATTCTTAATAAACAAAGCTCCTCCAGCAGTTGCCCTTAATATGTGAAGCAGTGCGGTTTAGTGCTGAAGACAGGTCCATTCCATTGTTCACCTCCTGAGGATGGTTCCATGACTTCAATACACAGAACAAAGCAATAGTTCTCACACACAAGGGTTGTGAAGGCTCTAAATATTTAATTGACTGGAAACAGTATCAGTGTTGTCCAGGCGT